GGCAGACCACCCAAGGAACTTCAAGTTCTTTTAGAATGTTAAGCCAACAACAGCAACGGTTCGTGGGAACCACGGAGAGTAAAGGATTAGGAAAGGAAGGTAAAAAAGTAGAAGTAGCGAGATGAATAGACACTGATGGAGAAGGAATGAAGGGAAAAGGGGGGGAATGATGAAGAACTGAAGTCGGGGTGGGTAGGGGAAGGGTTGGTAAGTGGTGAGAGGCTGAGGGGGGGGGGGGAAGCAGAGAAAGAGGGCGACCGAGAGGAGAGAAGAGAGAAAGACGGAGAGAGAGGAGGAAGGGAAAGAGAGGAACCAGCGGGGAAGGGAGAAAAGAGGAGTTGGTAGTGAAGAGGAATAGCAATAGTGACAACCAGGGAATGAAAGGAGACGAAGAAAGAGAAGCAGCAGCAGCAGCAGCAGCAGGAGAGAAAGGGACAGCAAGCAGACCCGGAGAAGAAGGGAACTGGAACTATTGATTGGGATCGATCATGCGAATCACTCTACTTACTACTAAGAGTAGTACGTAGTTACTTAACTTACTACTTACTACAAGCAGTTACTGGCAGTGACTTGACACTCCCTGGATGGCCTGGGAAGTCTGCCTGAGACGCTCGCCCGTCGCTCAGGCGCTGTTGTGCTTCCTAATTGGCTCGCTTCAGCTCCCCTTAGACCGAAGAGGACTAGCGGAAGGAGGGGGCGACTGGCCAATTGTCCAACGAGGCCTCCTGATTGGTGCCAGCACCCAAATCCCCCGTGGGTGCCTGAGGTGCCACGGCCACACTGCCTCCAACTTCCAGTTCCCCCAACTTATCGTGCGAGACGAGGATCTTCAGGAAATGAGCCGACCCTCTTTTCATCAGTAGCACAGCACTGAAGTAATTAATATCAATCGCTATTCCAAGGATGAGCGGTCATCTGACCTTCCTTATCTGATTCACCCCATGGCCATCCCGGTCCTCTCAAATTGCATGGCTCCAAAGCCCATCTTTATCTCTCACCCAGCCCCTCCCAGGGTCCCTCTACGGAGTGCACCGGAACGTGGTAACCGCTTGCACGGAGCTTCCCTTGCCCAAATCGCTGCAGATACTCAGGTGGTGTGCTCAGGACAGGCTTGTAAAGCCAATATACCACAGTCCGTTTCCTTCTCTTAACTATCTGGCTCTCTGCAGCCTGCTATTGCTGCTGATGGTGCTACTATACCGCCTGGGACTCTCATCGAGGCTCACGTAATGCCATCTGGCCTCCGCCAGGCTGAAACGCCCCATCCCAGTGTTGCCTTCCCAACTGCCTGGCACGGACACATATTCTCCCGGAGGTGTTGGTAGCATCCAGGCTCCCATATTATTTCATGTAGCGGCTTCTCTCTGAAATGTCACCAAAGGAAATATCCACCGAACAAACATTGATTATCAGTCACTGTAATTAGAGTAGGTTAACATAAGATAGTAATTTCGTGTCACTGATCATCGCCATAATGTCTGCACTTTCCAAACAAGATAAGGTCTTCATATGTCAAAGAGTTAAACTTAGTATATATGCTCCTGCCTGCCACCTATATCATTTCTTCGATAACCAGGGTATCATCAATTGCATCAAAACCAGCTTACTAGCGTGGTCAGACTTTGCATCTCGAAACGCTAAGCAGTCATTTGGGCCTTGCATGTGGTTGTCACATACTATTATTGCTGTATACACTGTAAGCCATTGTCCGGTGTGAGATGGCAGCTGGCGTACCCCTTTAGAAAGGCTTTTGGCAGTCTCTTGTACAGAGCCATTCCCCCGTCGGATGCGAAGTAGGCTAAACAGCCTCAGTCTCGTTGTCCTTACTTGAGTTCGATTGCGGCACACTATCAGGCCGTTTCTCAAGGTCACGTTCAAGGCGGGCTTTCTCCTCGTCCGTCGCGTCAGTTAGATGGACCGCAACTTCCTCGCCAAAGTTCTGTGCAATCTCCTCCAATGTCAACCGAGCAGTCTCCGGGAAGAAAAAGTAGATCACTAGAGGCCACCTATTAATACGAATACCAAGATTGCAAAGACGTAGCTAGCTCACCTGGAATGAAAAATGCGGACCAGCAGATAATAACCAGATAATACTTCCAGCCAACGTTGTCGAAACCCATCGGCGCAGTCTGAAGCAGGATGAGAGTCGCTGTCATGCGTTAGTAGCTAGGACGGCTTTGCATCCGAACAGTTTCTTACCGGCGAACTGTCCAAATAGGGAGAATCCCATGCCAATCGGGCGAATCTCAGTAGGGAAAATCTCAGACACATAGAGATACATCGTTGTATCACAGAAAGTTCTGTTGAGAGATGAGTAGTCTGAAATCATAATCTGTGGAGATATGCTTACCCTTGGAATGCAAGGTAAAGGTACATAAACAGAATGCCAAACCCGTTACCAACCCGGTTCGTGGTGCCCGCGTATTGTGCGGTCATGGCAGCCAAGCAAGATGTGGTAACAATAATCCCGACAAAACCTGTAATGTACATTTTTCGACGAGAATTGACCTTGTCGTGAAGCCAGGCACCAAGAGGGTTGTAAATGACACCTAGAAATATGCCGATTAGTCTTTACCCTCATAGTCCGACCAGTTTCCATCTTACCAGCAGTTGTCAGCCAGACCGCACTTAGGAGCAGTGGCATTCCGCCCGTTTCTCCAAGGTTGGTGTATAGAAGAACGGCATAGTTGTTCTGCGCGATGTAAGCTATCGGATCTCAGCTTGATCGCAGTAAAGAAGCACTTACGATGATCAGAGGTCCGCCGAATTCAGCTCCCCATTGGGTCAGAAAGCCGATAGCCATACGCTTCCTGTACGACTTCTTCTTCAAAACTGCGTTCCACACATTTCCATAGGCAGACAATCGCTCCCCTTCAAGACGGATCTGCTCGGCAGTTTGGAAGTATTCTTCCTTAGCAACCAGGTTGTTAGGATCTTCTGGGGATCTGCGAAGTCGCTCAAGGACCAATTTAGCTTCCTCATGCTTTCCCTTACTGATCAGCCAGCGTGGAGAGCGAGGGAGCCAAGGCGATCCTAGCAGCAGGACGAGAGGTGGCAAGCACTGTAGACAAAGTGGGAACCGCCAGCCAAATGTACCGATCTTATTTTCAGCAAAGTAGCAGGCATAGCCTACCCAGCCGGCAAGCATGTAACCGAAAACCAGAAAAATGGCATGATGGCCAACAAGCCAACCACGACGGAAGGCACTAGACATCTCGGAAAGGTACATTGGACACACAGTCACGAGGATACCAATTCCGAGGCCGCAGACAAATCGCCCAGCTTGAAACATTCTAGGTAGAGTTAGCCAAGGGCATGTGCAGTAGATTGGGGGGTGGGGGTGAATCAAGGCGCACTTGAGTGAATTAGAACCTCCTTGAAGTGCTCCTCCGAACATCGAGAAGAAAGCCCCCAACTGAATATTAAGTTTCCGACCAAAATAATCACACGACCACATTATGAAGAGCGTCCCAACCGCACCTCCAGCACTGAAGACGCCATTCGCTGTAGATATAGCAGGAGTCGTTATTGAGGCATATCCCGGCTCGCCCTCCTGAGGAAGATTGAAGTATGTAAACCATCCTGGCTGACCGATCGTGCTTGAGATAATCGAGGAGCAGTAACCGTATGTCTATTCAAATTGGAGAAAAGGAAAATTAGGAGCGATTGCAGAAGAGATATTTCCGAATACTCACCATGGAACCAACGGCAACAAATATAGTGACCAGCCTATTATAGGTACTGGTCTGAGACCCGAACGTCCCCATGGCGAGCTAGATGGAAGCAATCTATGTAGATCGAAGCCAAAGTGGGAAGAGAAAAAGCAATATAACCAGAAAGAAGAGCAAATAGGTCAGCCCGCACGTTGCATCAGATGAAACAATATTGAGCAAGCCACGCGGCTCAATGTTTGATCATGTACTACCCGAAAGGAACAGGTCTGGGACCGGGGGGTGAGGGAAAAGAGGCGGAAGGAATGCCGGGCAGAAATGAAAATGTAAACAACAACCGTGTATGACAGACAGACAGTCAAGGTGCCGGCACATCAGCCTGGGATATATCTCTCGGCGCAGGGTAAGCGGCCAGAGAAGAGGGCACCACAGAGACTCCCACACATCCTGCACTAAGTTGCTTAGCTCGTGGGAGCTTTCTAGCTTTGCCTTGAGTATACTTCCCTTTGCGTAGAGCACCGGCCGGGTGGAGTTGACGATGAAGGAGTGGATCCACCAACCACCGACCAGCGACATAACGGCTCCTCAATCACCTGGTTGAAGAAGCATGGCCGATGGCCCGCTATTCGACAATTGATTTGCGCTCGACCAGGGGAGGGAAGAAAGAGGATGCATTAGTTGTCGTTGCCTCGCTAGCCTGACAAAAAACGGTCTCTGCCAGGAAGGGAACCGATACTAAGCTCCTTCGGGGAGTCCCGTGCTGTTACTGCATGTACGTACGTTACCGTTATGCCTGTAAGTATGTATGTTCTGCGGTCTGCCGCTTCCTCTGGATTATTCACTACTTCCGAATAGGCAACCGAAAGGACTTTTAAGGTTCTCTCCATCTCCACCTTGACAGCCTGGTTTTGCGGTTTGGGTTTATTGTGGCTGCCATCAGCATCCTGATCAGTTGTCACTTGTCAGTCCTGACTCGCTCGGTGGTTCATGGCTCTCAACCGATAAGATGACCCATAAGATGTCAGTTAAGATCCACCTTGAGTGAGCATGGTTCAGGTCGCGTTTGCTTTGTAACCTGGTGCGTATGCACGCTCAGGCATAACAGACAGATAGTTTGGCGATTTAAGTGACGCCGAGCCCTCTTCTGTGGCCTCGCTTTTTGTGGACTCGGCGGGACTGTGTTAAACTGGTGCAATTCTCAGTATTACGTTTTAATATGTAGCGTGTAAATCCGAACAGGGGGTTCAAAGTTGGGTGCGGAGCAAGTACTATAACAGATGCGGGCCTGGTAGTCCGTCGCTGCGATCCGTCTATTGATTTTCTGGATCTAGTGCATCCGCTATGACAACGGCGCCGGACCGGTCTGTCTTTCATCCCCACCCTTTTCATTTGGATTAGTAACTATTGGAAGCGATAGAACCATCCTCCAAAGGCTACAACTGGTAATTGAACCATCGTGCAGGGAGATATTAAAAACCTATGCGTACACGGGTTTCAGCTGGCTGTCCAAATATCCCTGGTTTCCGTCTCCCAACGTGCTGTGGCGTTTTCTTCTTCCTTCGATCGCCCTTGCTATCTTTCTCAGAAATATGTCGTCGGGTAATCCTAGTCGGTCGCCTTTCGATGTACCATTTGATGAGCTGCCGAACCCAAAGCAAGTATGGGTTGGCAAGCCAGGAAGCCGCGAAGAAGGATTAGGGAAGCTTGCGATCTTGACCCCCGAGGTGGTGGCCAATGCTGCTGCCACTGAAATCAAGACCGGGCGACGGGTGACGATGGGCTGGGAACTGACCAAGTTGGATTATCCTAATCTGAACCGTCAACCATGCCACCATCAGATCATTCCGCTTTTGGGCGGTGTGGCTTTCGACGATGTCTATACCATGAATCCTCGTAGGTTATGCACTATTCTTCCTTTCGCCCGCGGTAACCACCCCCCTGGGCTAACTCCAGAATAGAACAAAGTAGCCAGTGGGATGGTCTGCGGCATTTTTCGCAGACGGTTGAGGGCCAAACCGAGCGTGTGTTCTATGGTGGCGCAACCGTCGAGGAAATCAATGATCGAACGAACAATCGGATCGGTTTGCAGCATTGGGCCAAAGAAGGGATTGCTGGTAGGAACTTGACCTATTTATTGATTGACCTTTCGGAGTAAGCGACTAATTGCGGTGTCGCATGCTGTTCGACAGGTCGCGGGGTATTGATCGATTATGCCACATGGGCAGAAAAGAGGGGAATCAGATACAGCACATTTTCGACACATCAAATCCGGCTGTCACATATCAAGGAGATTGCCAACGAATGTGGCATTACTTTTCAAAAGGGCGATATACTTTTTGTTCGCATTGGAGTGACGAAGGAATGGGATACCGCCATGACAGATGACCAGAAGCGGCAATACTCGGACAATCCGAGCCCGGAGCATGCAGGTGTCGAGGCAACTACAGATGTGCTGCGATGGCTTTGGGATACCGGGTTCGCCGCGATTGCCAGCGATGCAATTAGTTGGGAGGTATATATCATCCACTGCAATCTTATGCAATGCTTCACTATCCAAGTACATGTTGACTGACATGTAACAGGTTTACCCACCCCAGTCGCCTGATTTGTTCCTGCATGAGTATGTACTTGCGGGCTGGGGCATGCCAATCGGTACGTTGAAATCAATTGCATGCGATATGAAGCGATCTCCAATAATATACTGATCGAATTTCCCTTTGACAGGAGAGCTGTTTGATCTAGAAGCACTGTCTCAAGTTTGCCAAGATCTCCAGCGCTGGTCTTTCTTTGTGGCATCTATCCCCCTGAACATGCCCGGAGGAGTATCTTCACCCCCCAATATCATGGCTATATTCTAAGCCGGATCTACCGACAGCGCTTTAGTTTGGGGCCAAACCGCTTGTACACGACAGCCATGGACGCTGAAAGCGGATCATATTTTCCAATTTTCCTTCTCCCATATTCGTGACGAAATTCTGGAGGTGGAGACCTTCAAAGGCTATACATAGCCGAGATGAAAATAAGGAGGGACAAATGGAAGTGGGGATGAAGTGTAGTAAGTGCGCTTTTGATTAAGCGACGAGAATGAATGAGAAAGCACATACATACCTATTCGGACATCGGGTTTAGATAGTAGAGCTATAGCATGAATCCGTCCACTTTTCCAGGCGTCATTGGGATCAGCGATGGTCACTAGGACATGACGTGGAAACTAGACCTAATCTGCAACCAGGCGGATTTCAGAGGATCATGAACCACGACATACAGAGGTAGGTACCTGCCCGCTCCGGGAAATACCGATTCCAAAGCAGTTGTTTAACATATTGGAATCAAAGAAAGTCAGATCATGGAGTGCTTTACCGCGCAAACTCTATGGCAAATTAGCATATTCTGATAAGGCTGGCTAAGACGGGGGATAATCTGTGGTCATCACCAGGGTCACATGGTAAACAGAAAGTCCGGGACATTCTGCCACGCGTGGAAGGGAACACAAAGAAACGCATGACGCCACTTCGAGTCTATAGTGCGTTTGCCTTTCACATCTCGGAAAAACGTTTGCTAACCGGGGAACAAATGTGTTAACTGTAACCAGCCAGACAAACGCATTGCTTGACTGCGTGGTGGGTTCGTCCGAAAAAATTTGCTCAGGACCCCTCAGCTCTTGCCAGCTCCTGCATCGTACTTCTGGTCTCGCTTTCTTTTGTTTTTTATTCTCTTCTTTTCGTCGAGCCATCGAGGCGACCAGTTGTTTTAGTTTCACAATAATCTAAGACGAGACCCCAGCTATGCCGGGTAAGGCAGGATTGACGTCCGCGAGGCCCACCATTGGTAACAGCGTTGCATCCGCACGGGCATTAAGTTCTCTTAGACGGCTGGCGGGCCCCACTTGCCGCCCGGCGCGCGCCCGCCCCAGTCATTCCAGCCTTGGACTTCCTTACGGAGTACCCATACGGTAAGAGACCGTAAGCGACAGCTGATGTACATCTCTGACCCGCGAAGGGGATGGATCAGAATCTGGCGTGGCTTTCGATCGACATCTCTCTTTCATCCCACCCCCTCCCTTAGTCGCCCTTGCCCATTTGCTTCAATAATTGTGTTGGCTTCATTACATTTTAACACTAGAACAAGCCATTGGAAAAGGCGAAGCCTGATCATCTGTTGATCAAAATTTTATCCCCCAAAGTCTTTAGCCGGTTGCACGCATGGGTTCCCGCTTCATCGCAACGCATGTGCAACATGTGAGACGGGGAGGGGACTCTGAGCTTTGACACTGACCATGCAGATTCGTGCATAGTTACACGCAGTACAGAGTACACACACTCCTGTCCCAGAGTGACATTAAATTTAGTCATCGTCAGTCTAGAATGAAATGGATCCGAAGCACTGAAAATTTCGAGCAATCAATTTCCTGCGCCGAACAGCGAAGGATTACGGAGTCAAAAGGACGCTTTCCAATGCTAGTTAGCAATTAGGCAATATTCTCGAGCACTTGGCGAGATCGCCCACTTACCGAGCCACTACTAGCCCACAACTGGGCTCTTGATTCGGAAAAAGTAAAGCCCATTGACTAGTCGTACTTCCTTCATTGCACCCCTGTCTTTGGCTAGCCCGGAACCCTGTCGCAGGATGCTCTGCAAAGGAGTAAAAACTCTTAGGGCCTGCGCTATCACCTTCAGGGGTGACGGCCTCCGTCTAAATAATAAAAAGAAAGAAGGCTTGGTGCTTGTGGCAAAGGACGAATCGGAGAGCTTTATTGCTCGCAATGTACCGACCTTGATTGATGTGTCATGACCCCGAGTCCCCAAATTTGGTTGTGATATAGTCTTAAATGGGACTTAAACCCGGACTGCTGGGACATTCATTTATTTCCAGCACTTTGGAAGCGCTTCCTTGAAGCCTACCCGTTCGTCACAATGCTCGCGGAGCTGCTTGGGCGTGATGGCACCGGCACGACAGATGGACATGTGGACAGGTCGGTCCAGAAATGGAATCTGGCGACACAGATACTATGCATCACTACGATGACGATTTTCTTTGCTCTGCGGTGTTTTACCCGCCTTGTCATCATGGACGGCTTTCGAAGAGAGGATTGTAAGGGCCTAATGAACAGCTCCAGATGGCCAGTGCTAATGAACACACAGGGACCTGTCTAGGTGCTTGGGTAAGGACATTGATGCCAACGTACTGAATGAGATGCTCAACTATTTGACTGGCAGTTACTTGGTGTTTGTTATTCGATCATTGCTTTGATCAGTAAGTATAAAAAAAAGCCCTCTTCGGAGATTTGCTGAGTATTACTTCAGTGGGACATTTCGGGGGCGGAGTGCACTACGCTGATGTACCTGTTTCCCATCGCATACCCTTCGAAAAGGTAAGTTGAATGAGTCTATTACAGTCTCCAATTTGCTGTGTTAACTTGCTCAGACGGTGTATGTGACAATGGTCATGTATGGTCCGACCGCATATTTAACAAAGTTGTCCCTACTTTGGATTATTGCACGAGTCTTTAGCCCTTACCGCAAAACCGTTATATTTATCTACGTCTTCCTGGGTATTATGCTCGCCTACTATATTCCAGCGGTCATTGTCAAGATCCGAATCTGCGACCCAATAGCGAAGTTCTGGGCCCCTGACACACCGGGGTCATGCCTGGACCAGACATCCATCATTCTTGCCGATGCAGTTGTCAGTGTTGTTAGCGATATGGCTATCCTAATTCTTCCCCTACCTTTGACGGTGGGGTTGCAATTGCCGCTGAAGAAGAAATTGCGAGTCATGGTCGTATTGGGAGCTGGAGGACTAGCGTGTGCATCGAGTATTGTCCGTCTGATTCTCATTATTTTGACAGGGCAATCACAAGACGGAACACTGGCTTTCATGCGCATTAACATGTTCGGGTACGACTATTCCCTTAACCGGATATCATTGTATCACCTAGCTGACGATTTTTTCGTGGTCAGAAATGCCGAGATAACGATCGGGGTCATTTGTGCCTGCCTGCCCGCCCTTTCAGCTCTAATCTCCCGTACCCACCGCGAGTATACGAGCAACAAATACTCCAGTCACAAGAACACCCAGACATCACAGTACGAATTGAGCAAGGTCAAGAATAGTCGTCCCAGTCGCGCAGATAGGAGCAAAAACCAGATGACCTTGACGGAGGTTGGATCGGACCAGGACATTCTCATCCCCAACGCTCAGGAAGCGCCAAGGATTGAGACCACAGTCCGTGGCGATTCAGAGCGACAAGGCACAGAGACCATGGGGATCATGAGAACAGTGGACGTTTCAACTACTGTGACATCGCGATACAGTCAGCACGAATGACAGGTAAAAGTCTTTTGGCGGTATGGCGGCGTTCCGGGGGATATCATTATGTGGTGCCTTAATCGGCTTACATCTCGACGAATCGACATGGTTTTCTTAACGTATATATATTAATATAGTGTATCATATGCCTTCCGGACCTCATATTGGCCTTGATGTCAGTTTATGTCTATGTATGTTTTAACGCCAGGAAGCAACATTGTGACTGTTGACGTGCTCGAACATTGTGACAAGCATCGCAGGGTAGTGATAGTAAGGTGCTGACGGACCCACATAACTGACAAAAGCTTGTGTGCTTCCTTTAATTTGCTAAATTAATGAACTCTTGTGTCGTGAGGAACTAAGAAGTTCTCTGGTACCTGGGAGAATGAACCATGACGTCATATTCAGATGAAGTCAATAGGGCACATTCCTGGGGTTGGCCCGTCACGAGATTGTCTGCCGCGAGTTGCCGCCATTGCAAAACAAGGAACCTCTGGCTTCGCTGTTGATGCTCGCCATTCAGCTGAACTCTAGTAGGCTCTTTGTCCTACGGGGCTTTTTCCGACTCATGGACGACTATCAAACCGACCTACGTATGCTTTTGTGACATTCACTAACCACTTACTTTCAAGGAATGATCTATTAGGCCATATGACTTATCTTGAAATTTTATCCCTACTACATTTCAGGTTATAGCAGAGGCTCTTCCTCCGGCTTGGTTAGTGGCGTGTCGCCTCAATCGAGATATGAACGATGATGAAGATCGACCACGGAGCACGGATAGGGCGTCGCTTGGCAAGAGATTCCGAAGTCACTTCAATCCAAGGCCGGCGGAAGATGATGGGCCACAAAACTGGTGGATCGCATCTACTGCTATTCCACTGATAGCAGCTACCACTGCTCCTCTCGCCAATCTCATGTCGATTGTCGCGCTTGTGATGCCGTGGAAAAGTAAGCTACTTGGCGGGACTGCATCATCAGGCGCACCGGCGCAGGAACTCATCAGTGACCCTCAATGGTAAGTGCACATCTCCGAGATATCCACAGATAGTGCTAACCCGAACAGGTGCATAGCTCTCAATGCCACATCACTCGCGTGTGGCATTGCAGGCAATGTTTTTCTTCTGTTCAATTTTACGCGCACTATGCGATACATCATAGCTTTGCCCGCATCTATCATCCTCTGGTGCCTGGCCACATCGATTTTGATCGGTATAACCGTTGCTACGAACATCTACGATGGTCCAACACCACCCGACCAGACCTACTCTCAGGCCTACTGGAGTGCAGTCATCGCCGCAGCTCTGTATTTCTTCCTCACTGTCATCCTGATGATCAACATGCTGGGATACGTTCTGGGGCATTACCCGCAGTATTTTGCCCTTACCGACGGCCAGAGAACGTTGATCTTGCAAACCACTGCATTCGTGGTGTGGCTACTAATAGGAGCTGCTATCTTCCATGCTGTCATCGACGATATATCGTTTGCGGATGCACTCTATTTCTCAGACGTCACAATCCTGACATTAGGATACGGCGACATCACTCCTCCAAGCTCGGTCGGAAAGGGCCTTGTATTCCCCTATGCAGTGATGGGTATCATCATTCTCGGTCTCGTGGTGGGAAGTATCCATGACTTTGCCCGGGAGCTGCAATACGACAATGTCGTGCGAAAACACGTCGAAAGAAAACGACAAGCGACTATCGAGCACTCAATCTCACTGGATCCAGGCGCAGAGGAACCACATCTCAAATCCAAATCCAAGCGTCCACCCAGGCCTGGTGGACGCAGTGCTATCAATGCGCTCTCATTAGTAGGCCGACCGAAGCTCCTCATCATGAGGGAAGAAAAAGACCGCTTCAACGCCATGCGAGCAATTCAATACGAAACCGTTCTCTTCCGGCGGTGGTACAATCTAATCCTGAGTCTCATCATGTTTGGTATCGTCTGGACGTGCGGTGCCGTGGTCTTTTGGCGCCTAGAACAAATCACCTACTTCCAAGCCCTATACTTCGGCTTTTGCTCTCTCCTCACGATCGGATACGGAGACATCACACCGACCACCAACGCAGCGAGACCGTTTTTCATCGTCTGGTCCCTCCTATCCGTCCCAACAATGACAGTCCTCATATCAGAAATGAGCGACACAATCGTTGTCGCATTCAAGCACGCCACCAGCGTTTTTGCCGACTGGACCGTCCTCCCACAGTCAGGGAAATACCGAGACTTCCTCCGTAACTTCCCAATCCTCTACACCACTCTGCAGCATCGCGAAGAAAACAGACGAGTGAACGAAGGCTTCCACGTGGGATTGGAAAACGAAGAAAGAGGGACGCGAGCAGAGCACCAGCACAGCCTCGACCATCCACCCACAAGATCTCTCGAAGAACTCGCCAGCGAGCCAGACACGGCTTCAGGTACGGGATCAGCCCCAGCATCAACCCTTCACTTCGCACAGCAACTCGCGTACGCGATCCAGCGAACTACCCGAGACGTTGTAGAGGGCGAGAGAAAACGATATACGTACGAAGAATGGGTGGAATTCACCCGACTCATTCGCTTCACGGACCCCAATCCAGACGATGTGGGAATTCAGGAAGACGAATATGGTATCCTGAACTGGGATTGGATCGGTAAGACGAGTCCGATGCTCGCCACGCAGACGGAACCAGAATGGGTTCTGAATCGTCTCTGCGAGAGCCTGATTCGGTATGTTGATATCCAGGCAAGGCAGACAGGCACGACGAGAGAGGAAGACGAACCGACCTTGAGGAAGCAAAGGGAGATTAAATTCGAGGGTGATCAGTGAAATATTCAATTATCTACTTCGATTTGTGTTGTACATATATGTATTTTTCTTGTTTATTCTTATACAGCCATTTTTCTCAATCGGAATAAGATAATTAAATTACCCTTGGAACTATAATATCATTATGATATAACAAACCTGTAAAAATTGAAACAAAAAAGACCGCCTTGATACCAATCAACCACAACCCACTTTAATCAATCAGTAATCGCAACATGAAACAACTTAATCCCTACACATAGTAAAATCCTCGGTATCCGAGCCAGCCAAGCCCAACCCGCCCGGACTTCATTCCGTTCTTCCAAAAAGCGACATACTCCCAACTACAAAGTATTAGGTTAATCCCCTTTCTCCGCACGCCACCAACCAACCAACCAATAATATAACAATCAAGCCAGAACCCCTCTTTGATGATCCATTCATGCCCCCCCTCTCCCCTTCCTTGCACATCATATTAAGTAAGTAGTCTAGTAAGTTGGTTTAACCCATGGAAGAGCCGTAGCCGATTACTTCCTTATCTCTCCAACTCAGAGAAGCGGGGTAAAGCTGGCTGTCTGCATCATCTCTCTCTTAAGCTGTGACACAAAGTAACTATCGTATCTAACGTATATAAGAAAAGAGAGTGATCGTCCATCCATCTTTACCAATCCAACTAACCTCTCTTCTCAAGGAATCTTTATCGTCTGCAATTGTACTTATTATTATCAAAGTTATACGTGCTACCAGTATTTTACTACTGCTTTCATTGAAGAGTATACTATACATAACTTTCGAAATGACGAAACAACTTGCTCCCGGCGCCCGACTGGAAGGGAAGGTTGCTATTGTTACTGGTTAGTTTCATACTACCTCCAATTTCAGTTTTCTTTTTTATGCCTAATCACACTCGTACATCTTTTCGTTCGGCTATATATTCTATCTAGTATATATTCACTGTATTCGGATTTATATATACTCCATTTTACAACACTCCCCAACCCACTCATACTAACGAGTTGAGAATGTAGGAGGCGGATCTGGTTTCGGCGCCGCCATCGCGCAGCGCTTCGCCTCCGAAGGAGCCAAGGTCATCGTGGCGGATATCAGTGTCGAAGGGGGCCAGAAGACGGCCGCCGCCGATCCGGAAAATATTGTGTTCGAGCAGATGGACGTGACCAAGGCAGCGGATTGGAAGCGCATTGTGGAGAAGGCGGTGTCGTTGTTTGGAAAGTTGGATGTGTTGGTGAATAATGCGGGGACGACGTATCGGAATAAGGTATTTAATTTCTCTCTTTTCTGTTATGTTCGTGATTTCATTTTGTTGAAGTGAGGCTTATGCATGGTTGATTAGCCGACGCTGGAAGTCACCGAGGACGAATGGGAGCGCGTGTTCAATGTGAACGTCAAGGGAGTTTATCTGGGCAGTCAGGCATTCGTGGCTCGGGTGATTGAGCAGGGCCAGGGCGGGTCGATCATTAATATCTCGTCGACGGGAGCGTCGAGACCTCGGCCTGGGTTGGTGTGGTATAATGCGTCCAAGGGGGCAGTTTCGAATGTGAGTGGATTGATGTTATCCATTACCTTTCGATGTGGAGTGCATTAGATGCTGATGATATGTTGCTATTAGGCTACCAAGGGTCTGGCGGCTGAGTATGGACCGCATAATATCCGTGTCAACTCGGTCGCTCCCCTTCTGTCGGCTACGCCGTTGTTCTCCGTGTTCACCGGAATGGAAAATACGCCGGAGAACTGGGAGAAGTTCATTGGAAATGTGCCGTTGGGTCGTCTCTCGGAGGGGAGTGACATTGCGAACATTTGTCTGTATCTGGCCAGTGATGAGGGACGGTTCATCAACGGGACGGAGATGGTCATTGATGGTGGAAAGTGTATCTGAGTCGTGAGACCGATCATTTTCGACGATGGGTATGTAGAACTGCATTATGGCAACGTCCTGTATCTCGACATTGCAAATGCTCTCAGCAAATTGAAACCAGCACAAAATCCTACTCTTTGGCCGCGTAGTGTAAGAGGATTTGGGATTGTAGCTGTACTCACCTGGTTATGTCCAAGAAGAAGGATCGAACAGGGAGATATCTTCTTCTAGCAGGCCCATCATGTGTTGGTTCCCCGAGAACCAGTTCCCCAGTTGGCTGGTCTGGGGTATCGGTCCAGAATATTGTCCTTCCATCGCGCCTCGTGCATCTCCAGGCGCTGACCTAGCAGGAACAGGTGCAGATGCCCACGCGCCATCAGTGTCGTCAGCCGACATAGGGGCCAACCCAAGCGCACTGAGATATACATCAAACTCTTGACCGACAGATGCCAAGTATTGATCCTCCTTGACCTGCACTTGTTCTTTTGCTTCAATGTACAGTCTAGCCACATTGCTAAGAACCTGACACAGCTGATACAATTTCGAAATGGCCTCGGAAAGGAAACAATTGGGCTGCAGAGAAGCCACAAAGTCTTCAAGTCGCGCGAGATCATCCCAGGATGACAAAGCAATCGCGTGGCAGAAGATCACTATAAATGGAACAAAAGGTGCATAGAGAATGGTCCTGGAGGGGATGTTAGAGATATAGCGGTGTGCCAAGCGTTTGCAGCTTACCAGTGGAAGTACGCGGCCTTGATATGCTCTGTCATCTCCTTCACTTCCGCCATACAGTCCTGATGTACTTCGAGAGCGGACCTAGCCGTTTCTATGCATTCGTGGATGAAAGTGCCCTGAGTGCCTTGTGGAGGAATGGCGCGGTATATCAACGTTAGAACTGACAAGCGGGCAACCTTGTCTGCTTTGAAGAAGATCTGATCGACCTGGGATCCTTGTTTATCGAAATGAATACCCTAGACCATGTTAGAGTGGCACTAGCTATGTCACCAACAGTGCATACCTCGAATGGCTCCATAACCACTTGCTGCATCTCAGAGGCCAGCTGACGAGCATGAGCGACCCGCTCACTTTCCGGCCGCGCCAAAGCTGCAGGGCTGTAAAGTAATTCGTACACTTTTCCCTGGATAGTCGCAAATCGGACCCACAGCAAGTATATTTTGTCGAATGGCTCATCCAGCCCGGTCGTATCAATGTTTACTAGAGAGGTGACGTCGTAATCCTGTATGGTTGACGCGCGTCCCAGACGCAGGGAAACTGCCTTGTCCAGAACGTAGACCGTCCAGAATAGTGTATTTCCAAGAGAGGGCTTACTGCCGCTATCTGAAGGATTTGATCGATGGTATCCGAGTGTTTGGCATAAGCGGAAGGCCGCTGAAGTTAACGTCATTGCGAACGACGGCTTAGACATCTCGATTGCGTAGGCGGCCTTGACCCTGTCAGCAGACTGTAAATTACTCCAGCGGCGACAAAGCTTACTCCTAGTGCGAGTGCTTCGATGTTTTCATCATTCGCAGGCATCAGAAGGCTCAAGCTCCCCAAAGCAGTTTCAAGGTTGACCAGACATAGCTTCAGGTATTTATCGTACTCCTCTCTAGTCTGTGAATCCTTTGTGATAGCGACGACGTCGCTAATTAGGTAGAGAAGAGCGCCGTTAACTATAATAAAAGTAGCATCGGAGTATTCCTCCGTGGAGAAGTAGATCTGGCGGCATTTCTCAACTAGCCGTCGGGGCGACAGGAAAGGCAGGTATGCTTGCAGGATACTCGGTTGCTCTGGTAGTACGTCAGGAAGCTACAGCAAGAACATAGTACGTCTCAGGGGCTACCTTGGCATTTGCGCAGAAGTGCCAGAACAATCGGCGCTGGAGGCATGGTAAGCTCTCGCAATCCCGAGCCTGGAATCGCCCTCTGATTCGGGAACCGCACTTGGCGGAAGGGAGATTGTGCCTGGTGGTCCTGCATATTGACGATCTGCTTCAAGGACGCGAGCGCAGTGCTTATCTTGGGAGTCGACATGTGGAGTGCGCTGCGGGAGACGGCCGTCTCTAGGAATTCTCTGGCGTAAGCAGAATGGGCAGCGAGAGAGGAATTGCCCTCGAAAGCAGGAGTAGACTCGTGTTGATCCAGAGTCACAGCAGCACTAGTGTAATTGGTCGTAGTGGATGGACTCAACTGGCTTGACAGTGGAGTAGAATGATGGCATTGTTCCGAAGGGCCGTTGGCGTGCGCCCTGAGTTCCGAAAGGGTACGCTCGATGTTGCCCAGACGTTCTTCGATGAGGTCAATCTTCCTCTCACTAGACTATGTCAGTTGAACTCGATAAGCAGCCTACTAATTGTACGTACTACTGGCTCGAGATAAGGACACGCTTCTTTGGCTCTGGGGGCTTCTGACCAGCACCAGTTGAGCGGCAGATGATTTGGGAACTGCGGCAATTGGAGCAGGGAGACCGCTTGTCACAGCGTATCTAATGGTGGCACCAAAAGATATGAGTGTCCTTCCTAAATGGGATACTCCACTTCATTATTGATGGATTGCAGCAGTCACATACCTTTCGGAGGCGGCATTGATCGCACTGGCATCCGTCAGCAATTGCGTGTTGTAGTATGGGGTATGCGAACTTACCGCACGCCTGACAACAGGCTCCTTCTCACTCTCGGGTCCCTCGGGCTCCATGTAGTCAAGCTTTCCAAGATAACCGGTCCCCGATAGCGCGGCTTATTACTTATTCCAGCAGAGCAGACTGCAGAGATTGTGGCTGTTGGTGACGGTGAGGGCGAATTGGTTGCAGGAAGTGCGAGACTGGCGGATCCCGCGGAGGCCGAGAGTGTGGACCGAACTTTGCTTGCCTAATCGTCACTCTCTCATATTCTGTTGTCAGGGTTCAACCTGGTGCGCTTCAGGCAGTGAATTCTTCGATTATCCGGTAATAGACTAGTCTTATAAGCTTATAGGAGGTCAGATCCTTCCACCTGTGTAATACTCCATTTTAGGCAGCTACTATCCCAAACTAATAGCTACCAAGGCTACCAATGTTATAAAGTCAAGGAAATTCAGAATTCAAGTATAAAAATAACGTTTATTATTATATTATGAATTTTCAAATTACCACATGGGAGTTTTCTTTTCTCTCTCTTTTTTCTTTTCTTTTTTTTTTTTTTCCACCTCTTGCCCACACTCTGGATGGTATTCGATCACGTGACTCATAACCATTCTGGGCGTTCCTTCCACCAATTGCTCCTAAACCAAGGTGGAAAATTCAGTACTATTGATGTTATAGTATTTCTAGATTAACAAGTCTCTCATTGAAACAGTTGCTTAGATATATTTGATCGAAGAAGACCCCTTTTATATGGGAATGCAGGGCGGCCGACAGATCGTAAATCACGGTATGATACGTGTACAAGCTATCATATAGCCACAAGTACTTGGACAAAGTTCAAAAATCCTTATATGATGGATCTGAACATATATTTCTGAAGTATATAGTATATTATTTGACTAATCCAAAGGCTAGCAATATAAGTCTACTCTAAGCGCCGATAGTCTCTATATACATGTCACTGAATCTATGGAAATATACTCATAACAGCCAACTTTCAATCTTTGCCACAGCATCGGCAACCAATCGGTCGTAATATGTGCCCAGAGGAAGAAACATGGACTGGTGGGCGGTGATTTCTTCCATGCCCTCCATCCGTAGCGGAACCAAGATCTGCTCTCTGCGGGCTGTTTCTGGAACACAGCAGAATAGTCGTCCTGGTGGTCTGAGACGAGAACCCTCGCGCTTATTTTCGTGCTCGTCTGAATCGCATGAGCTTGAGGATGACCGTATATCAATCCTGTTGGAAGAAGATTTCGTGGCTAGCAGTGAGTCAGACGAGCGGTTATCTGCCACCGTTCCTCGTACATCAGCTCGCATATCAGGTAACACCAACGCAGAGACTCCATCTTCTACGTGATAGTCATGTATTTGCGACGTTCTGTGACTCAAGATTATCTTGTTTACGTGATCATTACCGTTTGTGGTTTCGCTGTGTGGGCAGGCAGTCGTGTAATAATTAACCAAGCGGACACTCCCACCAGATTCATCGCGTTTTGCCCCAACGGCAGAGTCTCTTGTGTCGTCTAAAAAGCTCAAAGTAGTCATTCAGACATCCGACATGATCATAGTATGAGAAAACATACTGAAGAACAGAACGAGATAAATGACCTGAATGTTTTGCAAGAAAATGGCGCGCTCCATCCCATCCACTCCATTGGGTCCTGTCGACATCGTTGGTCAAGTTTGTGTCGAATGTCGGATCGTCGTTTGCTATTCGGATGTCTATGCTACTCTGATAAGTGCGCATACTCTCATTCTTTGCTTTCTTGCTAAATACCCTGCCGGCTGCCGTTGTACTGACGCGCGGATGGAGTCCAAGAAAAGGCGTATCAAAGGCCACAAGGCCAACAATCCTACTGTTCGGAACGTGACCAGCGGTTGTGTAGGATTCGGCAAGTGCAACGTTGTGGCGATATCCTGCGAAAAAAAATATATGCTCAATATAGAGGGCTGAGTTGCGGCTTTAGGTAATTGCTTACCACCGGCTGATATCGTCGCGAGCAACACGTATAGGTCCTCTGGATTTATAGCGGGGGTATATCTTGGTGTATGTGACATGGGTTTGAGCCAATGAGACCTTAAGGAGATTGTGGACTTCCCTAGGGAAGTTACAAAAGCTCTCCTCTGAGCCTAGAAAGCTATGGATGTATATCAGGAGTAACCTGCGCTTTCCTTCGTGTCTTGGTAATTCATTGGAACTATGAGAAGCGTCCCTCCATGCGTTGAGAACAGATTTGTCAGAGGCGTGTTCTTTCATTGTTGACCCTGAAGACCGTTCTCAGTAGAATATCCATCATGAATGAGTATGTGCTGACACAAGAGATAGCGGCTGTGTGTAAGCAATGAGTTGGTCTGCAGTAGGTCCCAGAACTTTTAAGTGATATTCACATGTTTGTAAGACAGTAGTAGATCCTACACGCCTGCTTTCGACACTATTTTTGGAATACACCATGGGTGCGAATACGATCGGCATTTAGGGCCTCTTCTATTCCCTTTATTTTCCGCTGTCGCAGAAGAATTAGGAATGGAAATATAAGCCAAGGCGTAGATCAATGACAATTGGTAGCCTCCATACCCACTCGTATTCGTTTGGATATTTAGAGGGCAAATATAGTTTTTTGTGCCCTGACTGGCCACCCAGCGGTCTAGATGCATACTGGTTATTTTGATGCCGCTTTTGCGGTCGGCAGCAATTGGCGTTGGGGGGATGATGACTGGATCACCTGGTAACTCGAATACCCCGGGATGACTGCTGCTGGCCATGGTAGGGGTCATAACTGAATCTCCCCGGAAGCTCAAATACCTCCGCATATCTGTTGCTAGCCATGAACTGAGCTGAGACGCAGCGAATGAAGGAAGACGCAGAGTAATCCACAGAATTCTAGAGTACTCGGAGAACCATGGTGTAAAGATTAAAGATTTACATTTTGACTCTTCTGGAAACTATGGTAAGGGGACGGCGAGAGACAGGGCCCTAAACCAGAGTGCAGATCAGAGAAAGTGGCGTGCCCTGGAACTTAGCAAGAACACATCCTAGGGTAAGGATGTGCCCAGTACCAACCCAGATATACGGAAACGAGCGAAGCCCCAACAGGACGATCGTATCGGGAAGCCGGGCTCATACCAGTGATGCTCACTGTAAGACTATTTAGTGTTGAGAGATCATGTCTCGCAGTTGTATCATGGCCATTATCTCCGGTCGACTGGCGGTATGATATTAGATGTATTTGTGAATTCATTGTTATTGCTGGTGGTGAGCTTCTCTCGTTACAGCCACACCAGGTCAATTTCGACAGATTTTGCCACTATGATAAAGCTATGGACAGGCTTCAGGAGTATCAAATGTATGAGTGCACACAGGTGCGAATCATCAAGTTGTATGACCTGCTAAAGTGGTTTGCCTTCATCGAAAATTCTACATAAAAGCTCTTATCTACTCCCAAAGAAAGTCGAAGCAGGGCAGTCCTCCGTTCGTATTCGTATAGATTGATCCCGCGGATGAATGGGTCGTGGGAGTTAAATGCCAAACCCCTATTGCAAAGTGGGATCTCTAAACGTTTCTTAATTATAATGTTTCGATAATTTCACGCCATCAGCTGATTCCTGCTGCTGTAAAAGCAGTTCCCCCGACCTCTCAAGTGGCAGGCGAAGAGTTGGTGGAAGGAGGGCAAACAACAGTGTTGGCCAATATGGGACAAGTTCCATTCCCTAGACGTTTCTCCTCAATAATTCATATTCAGAGATCATGTCCGAATTGGAACCACAAAACCAAACAAGCTTTGTATATTGAAGAATACCACCATTATATTCTCGGGCGTGCTGCCATGCACCGTGGGGTCCGCCATTACAGGATAGTGAAAATAGTCACTTGGTTCCCAGAACTCTATAATGTCATCTTGCAAGCAGACATCATTAATACTGCTGGGGTTGTTCGCTTGAGCCAACTGCTCAGAATCCTAGCTAAGATTAGAAAAGAAACTAAAATAAAAACCCCGATACTCAAGACTTACCTCGAAAGCTAATGTAAATTCAACGTTAGACGAGCCCATTCCGCACGGTTCTGCACCTTTTTCCACATCTTCCCTTTCCTGCATCTCTGCCTCTTCTTGTTGCTGGTGCTGTGGTTGGTTTCTGCCATAATGCCTGATATACTGCCTTGCGATGTGAGCGAATTCGGTCAGAAGCGACGCGGGCACAAAATCCCCAGACTTGTACTCCAGTAGACTAAAATGCCCAGCTGCGACATCCAACAGTGAGAGATTGTTGAGGGTTTCCGGATGCATCGGGTTGTGGATGACAAAGTCAATCAGAATGAATAATGCTCCAAGTGGTAAAATGGCCAGAATGCTGTCTCAGAAGTTAGCCTATCGCACAGCGACCACGTTGATATCACTTGACTCAGCCTGAAAAGAGGTGTTCTTGCTTACAAGATCGGCGTATAGGCAGCTATGTCGATATTCTCGCTTTCCTCCACAACGGCTCTTGCTGTATCCATCAGCAGTCGCCTGGTCTTCTCCTGCGATGGAGACTGACCTTATCGACCTATATAAATCTTAAGTCTTGCCAGAGTGATGATCAAACCATAGTACGAGAACTTGCTTTGGAGTACAACCGTCTTAAAACTCGATTTAGGGAAAGAAGATGAAGAACAGGGGACCACGTGCGGCTTATGGGACTGAGACAGCCTACCAGGATGATAGTGCGCTGGTAGTGCGGATCGCCATCGCTCCAACCGAGCTTCAATATTCTGGATCGCAGCATAATACGACTCTGGAGGTTGGATTGCAGCACTCACTGAAAAGAGGGAAGTATATGCAAGGGAGAGAATTCGCCCGAAGCTGATGGCCGATAATAACCAGTTATGCCTTTCAAAGACGGATTCTGGGACATCGGGGACAGGACAGCCGATGTCATGGTCGGGAATCATCTAGTATAGGATCAGTCGATGCTCACTCCGCCAGTCCCTAAATGAAGCCAAGAGTTTGATATTGTAACATTTGGTCACGTACCGAGCCTTGTGGTTCTGAAAGCACATTCCCTTCTCCATGTAGTAGATTACCCAGAAGGTCCTATGACAGGTGTCTTTGTACCGCTGGTCCCCATTGCTTAGTGCTCGATGGTATCCAAGGCTTTGAGCCATTCGGGCAGCTTCCATTATCAAGACTTCGTCGATTTGGAGACAGCAAGTAGTCATGGCGAAGATTAACTAGATAGAACGAATCAATGAATCAGTTACTCCCAAGCCTTTTATACCATTTGTCCTCTTTCGGCGCGGGGTATTTCTCATCTCAGTGACATCGCCTTACCATGGCAACCAAAGCCTAATTCAATCTTGTCAGTTAAGTCCACTCTATTGCCACAATATTGACATACTTGAAGACTCATCAAGGCCTACTCCCTGGGAATCAATATATCCGACACGAGACCCAAAGAGACTTGGAAAAGCTTCCACGCCCTGCCATTACCTGGGTCAAAGGCCCCGCCTTCATGATACTGGCATCCTAGAGCCAAATTTGTGTGATACAGAGCCGTGAAAGCACAGCTAGATGCCAGAGTTTCAGACAGGTTGGGTCCGAACACCTTATCCTCGAACTTTTGACGATCGAGGAAAGAGTAATTCGGATGCAATTGATGGAAGTAAGCTGTGAAGTTGAGACAATTTATATTGATAATCTTGTATATATTTGTTGTTGGGTTATATCTGATAGTGGCAATGGCTATACTAGCCGTTATTTTTGATTATTTGAGCACACTGCTTTGTCTTTGAATGGCATCGGTGTAAGGAAGTCTTTTAGGGGGAAACTTCAAAGCAAGGCTATAAGCCATAATTATACGCAGGTACCTGCGGCCCCAAAAATCCCACATATCTACACTGAGTCGACTCGTTCTATGTCCAACCCTCCAATCTAGAGATAATAGATTTGCAGAGATATTCTATTCGTCTATGCGTTTTGCTCGTGGTCGCATCACAGCTAGGGGCAAAACCCAGCCATGTCTATAGTATGTCTATTTCTCGCATCAGGCCGGTGGGCCTCTCCTCTCTTTTTCCTCTCCTCCGGGTAGGGTATAACTAGTAGATCCGTATCGGGTCGGTGTTTATCGTTCGGACAACTTCAATCACCACCCGGAGACCCGCAGCCTAGACAGCCACAGCTAATCTGTAGATCAGGGAGTTCCGGAAGCGTAGGCGAACTGATAGGCCATATTCGAGAACCATAGCAAACTTGGCTTACTTCTTAATTCCAATGACAGCCAAGTTTCTCGGACTCTCCTTGTACTCAAACACCGGCTCAACCCAGCACTCCTTCACGGAGTCGTGCTCCCGCAGAAATTGCCATCTGTCAACGACGATGATAGCTTCAACCAGAGCAGCACTGAAAGCCATCAGGCTCCAGACCACGCTCAGGTTCTTTTTCGCATACCAGTAATCCTTCACGTAGCGATCGAAATCTTCCTCGGTCAGATCTGCCATGCCGGCCTTGACCTTCTCGCCGAAGTTCGGGTCGCGACCCAGCTTCGTCACCGCAGCATTGGCATACGCGGAGAAGGAAACAAAGGCCGATTTCCGCAGGGAGCCTACAACCAGCGGGTTTCCGGCATCTTCAGGTTCGGTGGATTCATCATACAGATTGTCTGAATTGTCTGGGTTCTTGGGCTTCGCAACCACCTTGCGATCCACAAGCATGCGCTGGAGCAGACTCCGATAGAAGTGGCGGGTGAAGAAGTCTTCGCTGTCTTTCTTGCTCCAGTTGTACGGGGCCTGTAAGGACATGGAGCGGGCGGTGATGTTGAGCTTCATGCCCCTTCCACTTTCATGTTCGTAAACCTCGAAACGTTTCGACATCGGGAAGCCATGGGGGTCGTATGCAACGGCATCCTTTGTCAGACGGGGATGCATCGACCGGAGAATGGGAAGCTTGTAGGTAGCAGGACCCAGTCTCTCAGTGACCAGATTGTAGCAACATCCGATCATAGCAATGGCTTTAACGGAGGGATTCAGGGTCAGAGACCGTACTCCGTGATGGAGAAGGTTGCCACAAGAATGTAAAGAAATGACCATGACGTTAGCATCCTTTGATCCGTCTTGAGCTTCAGTCTCCCCTTCGACAGGCTCAGTCTCGATGACGTCTTTGATGATGGGCTCGAGGTAACCGTCCTTGATCTCATGCTCAATGTAGTCCATTTTACCTCGAGGTTTCTCCGGATCGACTTCCTCTTCGGTGGCAGTTTTCGGGACATTGCGGTAAGGAGCGAACCCAATCTCGCCAGGTGCGAGACTGATATCACGGAAGACGTTGATCATGGCCATATCCTCTTCACCACCTGCCGCATCGCTTGGGCCCCCTGTAGCATCCGCCTTTACATTGGCGGACTCTGGACGATCGGCATCGGTCTCTGCAGGCGCATCCGGTTCTGCACAAGTCTTGCAGTTGGCCAGTTTCTTATTGTACATGTTGACGCGTTTCTTCTCCTGCAGCTTCGCATGGATATCCATCCCCTTCGCGCCGCTGATGAATTGATGCTTCCGCTCAATGGCAACGATGTGTCTGTTGTAGGGAGCACACGCCAGCGTCCGTCCGAGGTAGCTCTGGCCCGAACCAAAATCGACAATGTGTGTAATGGGATCGCCCCGTTGTTCATTCACCGTGTCACACAGGGAATCGACGTATTTCGAAAAGTGCGCAACCTCGTGATACTTTTTGACATTCATGCCAACCGCGATCTTCCTCGGGATCGTCGGCGTTCCGGGCTGCGCGGGGGTGAAATCCCGCCCCAGACTCAGTCGACGGATCTGATGGATATACTCCAATAGGTCCAAGGGAGGCAGAGGCGCCCCGCGCCACTGTGCGGTTGACTCGCCGCCACGCGCAGCAGCCTCCCGACTCTGGTCTAACAGAGGCCGGATGTCATCCCGCAGAAGCAGGTCCAGAATGTCTTGAATATCATGCTGGTCGAAAAAGGTCCTCCAGTGTTCCGGCAACAGCGAGGTATACAGGTCAGGTTCTCGGGTCAGGAAATCGAGGATGTGTACACCGCCGCAAAGATGCCTGAAGATGGCGGAAGAATTGGCGAAGGACAAGAGGGCCTCGACGTAGGCATCCGGATCCGTCCACTCTTCGGCGAGTGGGAGGGGTTGCGACGGAATCATGCGTCAGGTGCGATTGCAGCGAAATCGGGCTAGACTGGGATGGATATGCAGGATGACATCCGAACCGGATTCAGGGATTGTGGAAGATGTCTGACGGGGGAGTCCAATGGGCGAAAAGGACAATGCGGGGGGGGGAATGAAAAGACAGACAGAACAAACAAGGAAAAAGTAATGGGGAGGAGAGAGAGACGGAGAGAGAGAGAGATGGTGGGGTGATTTGCTATCGATATACACGACCCCGAAATTTTTCGAGGGGCGATCGATAGAGAAAAGGCGGATGTGGTTTAGCCGTGGTCGGACCCACCGACTAAAGCATCCAGTCAACAAACATTATTCCATCATTAAAGGTGGACGGAGTCTCCCGGGTCGGGAAATGCGGAGATGGAGAAGGATGGCAGAAGAGCGGATGGATCCAAACTCGACTCATCAATCATCACCACCAACGTTTATTGAACTTCCTGACCCTCCTCTATCTCCTTTCTCTTCTTTCTCCCCTATCTATTGGTCCCTGCAATTCTGACAGCAATACTATCCTCCTTAGCGTGTCATACTGTCCTCTCTCCCGGTTGAACCCCTGGCGACCACTCAAAAGGGCACTATTGAAACTATCAGGGCTAGTGAGTCCTGGGAAGCCGCTGATCGCATGCTTGACCATACATCGACCCTCCATGTGTCTCCTGTGACACTCAGCAAAGACACTAGTTCGTCCTGTTCATCGTGCTACGTGTGACTTTGGACCCTTTTGAGAATCCAGAATCTGTGTCCAAGGCAAACAGCAAAGTCGGGCTGGTGCTGGCAATCCCATTTCCCTGTCTCTACTCTCTCTCTCTCTCTCTTTCTCTCTCTCTTTTTGCCTCTCTGTCTGTCTCCTCCAATCCCCTTCCACCCGTAGTCTCTAAATCGCCTGATAACCTGAAACGTGGTCAAGACTTGTCATCATCGTCCAAGCCCAGTCCACCCCAGAAATGGTACCACGTATTATATAAGAAAGGTGACCAGTCAGCTTACTGTCATTCGGTTGCTGCATTCTGCATCCTGCGTACTCAGCCCTCCGGTATGCACCACTGCAGCCAAGCGCCCAACTGATAATCTGCCAACGCGTCACACCGTCTACGCTTGATATCAGCCAAACGGCAATATTTCCCCTTACTGCCAAGAAAAAGAAACAGCGAATCCCTCGGGCCCCGTTATTAAAGAAGGCGATGTCACGCCGGGCCCTCTAGATCCTGTACCACTCAAAAGGGTACATTCCAAGTGCCGCCCCAACGGTAAGTCGGGATGATCTTCCGGAACAAGACGATACACAGCCAAGCTCCTCCTCCACAAATGCGCAAGAGACGTCCTATACTGATCCGCCTCCTCAAGCAGATGTTGACCTCATCTCCGAGGCGGGAAGCCCTTCCATTCGGCTTCGTCGCCGATGTGCTCTTTCAGATCATCATCAATGGCGAGGTGAACACCATCTTGACGCTCTGCCGGCTGAATCGCGCCACATACGAGACCATCAAGATGTTGGAGCCGCATATCTGTGGCTGGTTCATGCGCTTCCATGCGCTTGAATTCGACCCCATTCTTACCCTTAACCCGTGGACGGGAGAGCAGAGCACACTAACTGTGCACTCCCTCGTAAGGTTCTTCCAGCGCCACAACATCGCCAAAGACTTATCGCGACATATTATACCGTCAGTGTGGGGACCTTTCTGCGATGACGGAACTCCAGAGATGAACTTTGAAGCGGAGTTACGCCTTGCCAACCGGTTGGAACGAGGGTTACACGTCCTCTTTCACATGGCCGACATTGCGCGTGACACCGAAAGGCTGAAGCCTAGCAGGAAGCCACTGGCCCCTGTTGTCAGTGGGCGTCTCTTCGTGCTCGGCAAGATGTTGGACGAGTATGATGAGCTTCCCCAGCACAGGAAACAGTTGATGTCATTCGAAGAGTACACCAACCACGTCTATACGGTTCTAAAGTGGGGATATGTGGAGGCCGATATTGGCCGCAGGCGGCTAGAGTTCCGAGGATGGCTTGACGAACAGACCGAGATCGACTTTCACGCGTCTCTGCGAATGTTGCGCGAGCTAATGGAGCGCATGCTTCTCCGCCACGGCCCCAAGGACTGGCACCGCGACGCCAAGAACGAATATAGCGTCATATCCTGGTTTCTCCTGAAACAACCGCCACGGTCACTGGCGAAGCTGTTCTTGAGTCCTCAGAACGACTGCTGCGATCTTGATGTGAAAGCTACTGATTGCGGTGTTAGGAAGTGCCATTTCTCAGACCCGCTCGACAACTACTGGAGAGCCTGGAAGAATGTGCCCGACCTGGGCTGCCAGGATTGTGACTGCAAGCGACGAGTCAGAAGTTGGAGCGTCAAGCCTGCACTCATTGATGCCCGAGGAAGAGAGTTTAATCGTGCTGCAGAGCGATACCTGAGAGAGATGTGGAGTCAGCGACACGTCGGTCTCCATCGTGCTTTTACCATGGGCGTTTTCACCACAGTTATTGGATGAGCTGGGATCATTCTGTCACATTACTCTTATCTGGATGAACTTGGAAGAAACAAGAATGTCATCAATATTTACTACAGAGTAAAACAAGAGACCCATCCAGACATTCTAGATAAATCTTCGATATGGCTCCACGCCGCCTTCTTCACCGCCCGTAAACCCGGGTCTCCGTAGTAATCGGCTCCGGATCCTCTCAACCCAATCAACATCACTATCGCCGCTGTTCCCAACCACCAAGCATCTCTGAAAGCGTTGTTTGACCCATTGTAACTATCTCATGATCTTCCCCTAGCATATACCCAACTACCCAACAACCATGGACCACGCAGACCCCTTCCTTCAAGTCCAAGCGTAAGTTTCTCTCCCCCTTATTCATCCATCCAATCTACAACCCATCAAGCCAGGTAGCTGACGTAGCACCAATCCAATGCCAACAGCGACGTCCTCTCAACCCTCCAATCCACACGACCTCTCTTCTCCTCCTATCTCCGCATTCGTTCCCTCGCCAAATCACCCAATAACCCAGAGCTCCAACAAGCGCGCTCCGAGCTCGAGACAACCCTCACCGATCTTACCGCGGACCTCGACGATCTAGTCGAGAGTGTGCGTGCAATCGAGCAAGATCCATATCGATTCGGTCTAGAACTGGAAGAAGTCCAGCGCCGACGAATTCTCGTTAATGATGTCGGTGCCGAGGTCGAGAAGATGAGGGAGGAGTTGCAGAGGACAGTTACAGCTTCGAGTGGTGGGAAGGGCACGACTGGTGCGCTGCCGAACCCGGCTGACTTTGATAATGTCTTGTCGCCGTCGGCGGAGGATCAGGGAGATGATTACTATGCCGCGATGGAGCAGCAACGACAGATGGAGTTGATGCACGAGCAAGATGAGCAGTTGGATGGGGTGTTCCGCACTGTGGGGAACCTGCGGCAGCAGGCTGATGATATGGGGAGGGAGTTGGAGGAACAGGGGGTCATGATAGATGAGGTGGATACGTTGGCCGACCGAGTGGGCGGCAAGTTACAGAATGGCATGTCGAGGCTGAAATACATCATACGGAAGAATGAGGGTAAGTGGTTACACTCTGACATTTTTACATTGTGCCTTCTCGGAAGAAAAACGTTGGCTGATTATCAATTAGATACAATGTCGTCCTTTTGCATTGCCGTCCTCATATTCGTTTTGGTCCTCCTCCTCATCCTGCTCATTGTTCTTTAAGACATGGAAACATATGGTTACAACTGCGTTATTCAAGACAAGACACGGTGATATCTTTAGACCTTGGTCTTCTTGCGGGGACGGTCGTTCTCGTCCTCCTCCTCGTCTCCTGAGAAATCAAGCTCGCTGTCGTCAAAGTCGACCTCCTCGATGGCCTGATCCGTGACTGGAAGGAGGTCAGCTTGGATTTCTTACGGGATATGGAAATCACTCACCATAGTACTTCAGGGCGTTGGGCCAGAGGTCCTCAGCGATCGCAATAGCGAGCTCCTCACCACCAGGGAAGACCTCAATGTCATCGAACTCATCCTCAATGTCGTCATCCTCGTCATCATCCTCCTCATCATTCTCGCCCTCAACAGGCTCTCCCTTGAGAAGCTTCTCAAACCTCTCGTTGTCCTCCTTGGTCGCGGTCTCAGACTGCTCAGCAGTGACATCGCTGCCACGGTAGCCGAAGAAAGCGAAGAAGCTCATACCACCGGGGCCATCCTCAGGGAGCTCATCCTCATCATCACCCATCTCCTGGTCCTCAGCGGCCTCAATCTCGTCCTTCTTCTCAAGGACCTTGGTGAACTCAGGCAGCTTCTTGCGGTCTCCGCCCTTCTTCTCCGCCTCAGCAAGGTCGCAAGCAGCGTCCAGCAGACCCTTGGTAGGATCCTGGTCCTTCTTCCAGTTGATGCGGACAGGCTCAGAGACCAGACCGTCCCAAGTGCGCTTGTGACCCTTAGGGGTAGTGATGACCTGCTTGCGCCAGTAGAAGGTCTTGACGAGCTTCTCGTTCTCGAAGTAAGGGTTCTCATCGCCGGTACGGAACTCGAAAGTCAAGCGGAAGCTGCGGGGCTCGCCCTGGCCCTTCTCATCGATCTCGAAACGCTCCACGGTCAGGTTCTTAAGAGTCGAAGCGAGAATCGTAGCATCGGTCATGGTGATGTATTCCTCGACCTCGGCGGGCGCATTGAGCATGACACGAGTCCAGAAGGTGTCGCGCAAATCCGGCTCGGCGATGACCTGGCTGCGCTTTTCGAACAGAGGACGAAGCAGGAGAGTAGACTGGCGCACTATATATACCAATTAGTTAGATTATATCCTAATCCCATCCCATCCCATTACCAAATAAACAACAAACCCCCAAAGAAAAAAACAGAAAATAAAAAGAATTAGAAAAAGAATGAAGAACATACACTGCTCCACCTCCGCCCTAGCAAACTGCTCCTCAATCAAAGAAATCTTCTTCGCCGTCTCCTTGCTCACCTCGGGGCGCTGAATGCGCTCCAACAGGGACGTGTTAGCTTGTTGTTCCTCAGCAGACATGATGATGGTGTATCTCCAATTGATTTTTAAACCAAAAACAAAAATATGAAAAAAGAGAGATGATTCAAATGAATAGTTTTGTGTTAACTCAGAAAGTAAATGGGAAGGAAGGAAGTAAAGTGGGTATATATATATAGAATAGTATGGTAAGAAGTAGGTAGGAAGAAAGAAAAAAAAAATTTCTGATGGTTTCAAAAAAGTTTACTGGTTGGTTTGGTTGGTTGGTTGGTTACTGCGCGTAGTAGTAGTAACTAAGTTACTACCTATGGTCAGTCAGCGCGCGGGCGCGGGCGCGGGCGCGGCTGAGACGGGCGGAAGTTGCCTACGTACGTAGTTAGGTTGTTTGGTTAATTAATTAGCTGCTTGCTTTAGCTTTCCTTGCCGTAGTTGGTTAGTTCAGGGGAGATTAGTAACTGTGCTGTGTTCACTGTGCTGTGCTTACTGTATGCTGTTAGCTAGCTAGGCTGGTTTTGGTAGGTTGCACGGGACGGTACTAAGCTGTTAATTTAACCGAATTGGGTTAGTTACTTTGTAGCAGTTAGTTAGCATTGGCGAATGGGTGGGTTAGTAAGGAGAGTGATGGTTCCGGAGAATAAATGACTATGTATTCTACATAGCAGTTGGTTAAGCAAGCGTATGGAAGGAAGGCTTATTAGCTAGTACTATCAGTGGGAAAGAAGGATTGGAGGGATGGTGGGATGATCCGTAAAGTAAGTGGTGAAGTTGCAGGCAGCATGTCATTTAATTCGAGTAATAGACAATGATAAGTAAGTAGGTAGCACGGAGGTCTCCGAATGCTGCGTTTTCCCCTACGGAGTCATGGAGCAGTACTCCCTTCCCCGCTAACGATAGGGAAAGACTGACTGCACAAGTGACCACCATCATATCAATAGTAGCAAACAATGTAAGACATTATGCTACTCTTCTATTAAAATCAGGTCAGATGCTTACACTACTTACTCCATATTCTGCGATAACTGCCACAAAATCTGCACTACACTTATCTTACACACCATACATTATTTAAAGTCTACCCACTGTAGTACTAGCAAGTCCATAACGTTATCATCAACGTTATCATCAACCACACACTTACCTACCTACCTCCACAGGAAGAGAATGTTCCAGCCCATCTCTTCAATCAAACTAGAACTAACCCACGCCACAACAGGGATCGCTTCGGGCGGGTTTTTCCCCAGCAACTTTAAGCCCAGCAAGACTCGTTGCTTTTTCCGGGAGATCTGCTTATCGGTGGCGAAAAACAGGCTGGGGGTGCGGGTTAGCTTCGTTCGGGGTATAGTTTAGTATGTAGTTTAATTCAAGGCGGGTTTGGAGTAGGTGGGGAGGAGGTAATGCTGCTTGTTGTGATCTATATTCCACGGATGGAATTTCGAAATCGATCGAAGCTGTGAACTTGCTGGCAATTCAATCGCATCAGTCAAGTAAGGGGGTTAGTGACCGCAATTAAAACGACAAGTAAGCATGTCTGGCGGACTGAGAATGAGCTTAGTCCATTCCAAATATTAGCTTTGCTATCTACCCAAGTCACCATGGGTCTTGAGTATCAATCCAGCCAGTCAATCAATCAATCAATCAAATCACATCCCTTCATCAGGATACTCAATCAAACAAACAAACAGCCGCCGGTGCGATCATCACACCCGAGGGGAATAATCGGCAAACACATAAATGCAGATCACTTGAAATGCATAGTGAAGAAGTGAAAGAAAAGAGAATGAAAAAAAGAAACAGAAACAGAAGCGTAACAAATAGTCAAAATAAACTTTTGGCGGATTGGAGGCCAATCCGACATGTCCATCATCATGCCTGCAAAATTCGTAACGTGCGTTTCAGCCAGCAACCCATTAATATAGAAACTTTTTTCCGCGGTGAGATGAGATGAGATGAAATGGGCCCCATCATGACAACCACTCCTGCGTCTTCGTCTTTCCCATTATGGTATAATTTTTCCGTCTCCCAAAGATAAGACCCAGGCCAGTTCGCCAGTAATGCATGAAATAAAAGAAAAGGAAAAGAAAACTCAGAAATGAAAAGAAACTGAAGGAAAAACCAGAGATGCCTGAACGCAAGCGGTAGGAGTGAGGGACAGGACAACCGGCCGGTTTCGGCTTGCGCTCAGACAATCGATGTAACCTCTTTATCGAGCCAATCGCGCCCATGGCTGAATCGACCTTGCGGCTGCCCTCCCCATCGCTCACCGAAGTGCAACACAGCACGTCAGATCGCGCCATCACAACATCCAGTCCAGCCCGTTCGCTTCCTCTTCCACGGGGAAAACTTCGCGCGCATATTCCTCCATATCTCGCCAACCCTGCCACAGGTGCCGGGCCTCATCCGTAACACGCAATGATATGACCCCTCCGGGACCCTGCATCATACCCGCACCCGCACCTTTACCATTGGCTGGGCCCAGGCCCTTCGGCGACCCGGCCGCAGGGCGGGAGAATTCGGGCTGCGGGAAGTAGGGTGCATCGCACTGTCCAAACAGCACCTCAATGGCTTCCAATTGTTCCCGATAGCCGGGCGGGATGTTGACCTTGACTTCGACCCTGGGTACGCGAACGTAGTGGCATGGGCGACCGAGAGCACGCGAGAATGCCGCACAGACCTGGTTCGGGGAAAGCGTCTCGAATGTGAGGGCGATCCTGCGGTAAATCAGCTATCAGCTCCATGTCACCCTCCGATGAATGACCGAGAGAAACCTACCGATGACCATGCCACTTCTTGGGCCCATCCTTGAAGATCTGCAGCAGCGCCGGTCCCACGTCGTGCTCAGCATCCAGCCAGGGGAGAGGAATATCCGGGTCGAAAGGTGCGTGCCACTCAAAGCTTCCGTCCTGCATCAGCTCCATCTGGAAGAGGGGGTATGGTAGACTCGTAAAGTTGTTGTTGTAGATTCCGGCGTAGACGAAGGTCGAGGGCAGACCGAGTTGACGAATGTAATTCTCCACGGTGAACTTGGGAGCCCAAAGGGGCACCGGGGGCCAAGGTCCATGCACAGAGTGGTCGGGCATACTGCTATAGACGTAGTGTTGAATGGTTCCTGCTCGCTTGGCGGCATCGGCCAAGGCGCGTCCGATCGCGACTTCGTCGCCAGACTGGGAGGTAGTGTTGATGAACGCAAGATTGGCCCCTTCGAACAGCGCGTCCATCAGCGCTGTGTTGCCCAGAAGGGGACCCTGGAAGAGAGTAACATTGGGTAGAGTCTGTAATTCCTCCGCGATGAGGCCTTTGAGCGAATGGATCTGAGCGCGAACATGGTGGCCCACTGCCGAAGCGACACGGATCAGAGACGCCGCCTGGCGACCCGTAGCGTTCACCACGGCAATGGTCTTTCTTTGTTGTGTCATGAGTTATAGTGGGAAGGGGGATGTAGTGTAAAATGCGGGTGCAAGAGATAATTCTCCGCGGTAGGAGGAGAATATCGTAGAGAGGGGGAGATTTGAAAAGAGAAAAAAGATGGAAAAAAGTATGCGGGGTAAAAGTAAAGCAGGGGAGAAAAAATGACCAGCGGACGAACACGAAGTAAGTCTAAGTCGGGCAGTCGAGCAGATCTGGAGTCGGGTCAGGTGGCCTTCCAGAATGGAAAATTGAGTCAATGCGAGACCGATTTATTGCCAACTAGTGATTTTGTGGAGGTTGAAGAGGCAGCAGGTGTGATCGTGTGTTGCAGTTGTCGAGAGGATTTCTTGCGTAGTAGTACGAATACCAGTTGCTGTCCTAAACTGCTAGTGGTGGTACCTTGACGAATGGAACAGTGGGGTAGTAGACGGAGCAGTTGGCGGAGGCGCGCACGAGGGACGGAGAGTTATATAGCTCAGTGGGATAAGATTGCCTGGGAAGACAGTTGATTTGATAATGCCGCAATCGAAGATTTCAATGGTGCAAGATGATGACCGGTCAGGCAGCTGTTGTTTGTTGCAGCTGTTGCTGTGGTTCAAAAAGAAAGCCGCGGGACACTAGTACTACTTGTACAAAAAAAAGAAGAGAATCCCACCACCGAAAAAAAAAAAGATCGATGATGTTGGAGACAACGGCGGATGATGAGATATTAGGTGCTCCAACTCCAGACCGACACAGCCGGGCTGCTCGCCAAAAGCCAGGTTTTTGTTAGTTAATGCAAAGCAGCGCCTCCTCCGTTGCAGGCACGGATCTCCCTCGTCGAGAGGATAATATGAATAATAAGAATCACCGAATGCTCCAACGAGGCCGAACAAGTGGACACCCCCCCAGAGCCGGTCTGGCACACCAGGCAAGGAAATGACCTCACACAAACTGAAGTTTTTTCAGTCCGAATGCACCAAAAATAAAATAATAAAAATAAAAATAAAAATAACACAGCAAAAGCCAAGATCAGTAATAATCTGTTGATTAATTTCGCTGCAGTTTAATCGGAATATGGCGAAATTGGCGGGAAAAATAAAATAATAAAAATTCGACAAAAAAAAAGAGCCGTGGATCAGGTCTAGTGCTTGGTTCCGAGACTCGCACCCACAATGACCCTAATCAGCCCTGTTGGTCAGGGGAGACTGCACAAGCTTTATCAGATTGGGGGAAGAGAATAGTGATGAAATACAATTGATGAAGGTGTCAAAGGGAAGATGCAGTGACTACGTAGGAGGGAAGGCCTTATAAAAGGGACAAGCTGGTCTATGAACCGAAATAGAAACCTTCTCCCCCTTTCTAGGACAAGTCGGTGTGCTCGTTGCTCACGTATCTAGGGGGGCCTGGAAGCGACGTTGTAGAGAAGAAAGAAAGGGAAGTAACTGCGGTCTGTGTGCTGCGGCAACGGGGACCCGATGAAGCCCACGACGACTATCGGCTGGTCTGGATTGGGATCGTCTGGGGTTCGCATCTAAAATGGGAGGTGGTACCCATGAGTGAATTTCTTGACTCCTCCCACAAGTTCCCGTCCACTGGGAAAATCCTGGCCAGAAAAGCTGCCCCGGTCCCATGATGTGATGGGGAAGCCTTCCGATGTGCTTTCCGAGGGGGTTTATATCGAGTAATGCGAAACAGTCATAGAATGGAAGGCCATTTGATTGAACGGTGTCAGGCGGAATTGCAAACTCTGGATGGCTGACGCGATTCCAAGGTACTCGGCCCTCTGTTCCTGAGAGTGCGCTTCTCTAGATTTCGCTGCCATCTTCCATTGCGTGGGTGGTCTTGCACCATTCGTTCCAAAGCCGGGGATGACAGGCCAGCTCGGCAGATGAGGCAACTAGAGCAATAGCCCTGACAGGAAGACGGGACCTTGTTGGATGTTGCTAGAAGTGCCCACGATGTCCTCGATGTTGAAGTGACCATTGACCTACTTTCCTTTACGTAACTCGGATGCAGTTCAGGGGTGGCTGGAAAGGGAGCTGAACGGACCAGCCAAATCCACCATCATCATCATGATACATAGAAGAACTAGTAGTATGGCATCACGAGGATGTCGTAATATGATTCAATCTGAGAATAGTGTCTGTTGTAGGGCGCAATCTCAACCCATGGGACATCCTCTATATCGGAAGGTAGTATAGGTATGTGATGCACCTTCCAACATTAACGGTTCTAGCTAAATTAGTACGTAGGAGAGATTCTTCATTATTGCTGAATTTGGGTAGCAAGAAAAAGCAGAGTGCATTCTATCAAAGAATGTCCGATCCCGGCAAGTCCCAGCCAATGACAGCCAATGCAGAGTGTGGGCGGGGAAATAGCGGCCTCCCACTGATCGACTTTGGGGGACAGCCACCGATTCTGAGGCAGTCTTCTACTACAGTAGTCAAGACGTTATACTTCTATCTTTCTTTCCACTCACCTACAGTATCGATTCTTGATTTTTTTTTAATGTATCTATCTCTCCGTTTTTATTCTCTTTTATCCTCTTTCTCTTTCTTCCGCCCTCATTGAACTATCTCTAATGTTATGAAGGATAGCAAGTGATAATCCACATTAACTAGCGAAGAAGCCGCCGTCACAGCCGACTGACAAAGCCTGAGCAGCCCACGTTGCTCTCCAGACCCATCGGTCCAAATCCTTCTTACCGACCAATCCGTGCGCCGCAGCTTCTCACGCGTCTGCCAAGACCCGAGAGCGGTGTTCCTTCTGGGGCTCTCATTGCGACGAAAGTGGTTCTCTACGGGCCTGTGGATGAAGTTTTAGTCCTCAGTAGTATGAGAGGAAGTACCACTTGGACTCCTTCTTTTTTTATTCCTGACTCAGGTTTATCCTTCCACAAGGTCGGCAAGGGGAAGGAAGAGCTTTCTTACCAGAAAAGCAGACGGTACGACAACCGTGCGACAACACATCCGAGCCATGTCTGCAAGGGAGCAACCTTCATCTGATCAACACCTTATCTTTCCCTGGAACTACTACTAATTAGGAGAGAGCAGCAACCGCGTGGGTGAGAGCACAGACTATCCAGGTCAATCTAGTAGAATCTAAGAAACATCAAGTTTAGTGGGATAGTATATTATAGGAACCTAAGATTACTTAGGAGCTCATCATCGTCATCAAGCCACCACCGGCTTTGAATTGATCATGTGCAACCCGGTCAGCTGCTCCGTCATACTTTTTTTTTGTTAGCGGAGTAGCACTACTGTACGAAGTATACTACTGCTGCTGTTGTTAACAGCCAATAAATGTAGATATTTTATCCCGATGAGGAAGGTCCTTGGAGCCACTATTTAGGTACCTGCTCACTAAGCCCCAGTACACACTAGACCACTACTAGTATACTAGTATAATAACGCATCTCAGCTGGGAAAAAAAAAAAAAAAAAAAAAAAAAAAAAAAAAAAAAAAAAAAAAAAAAAGATAAAAAAGTAAAACATCTCAGCAATGGCGCAATTCAAAGCGGGGTTGGCCATCGTCCATCGTCCTTTTCCCCTCCATCCATCCGACATGCATGACCCCGACCTGCATGCCCAGGGATCCTGCATGTTGGTCAGGTATCTCCGCGGAAAGAACTTCCCTTTTCTCGCTGTCTACATAGTAAATAGTAGTTCAATAGTAGTTGTGTTCTCATGGCAGTTATATTGGTGGTCATCATAATCTGACATTCCCCTCATTCTATCATCAAAGTATACTGTGAGGTGTACCAGGCAGCGTGTGAATGAAAGCTTTAGAATTATAACAATACGCTTTTCCGTCTAAAAAAAAATACCATAACGGCTCTAAACCATCACAGGTCCCTTCCTGTCTCTAGAGAGAAGGGGTTTAAAAAAACGATCGCCATCTTCAAGGCGCCGATCCCGCCATCACTCGCTGTGCCATACGTCCTATAGAATCACTCGAGTCCTCCAGTTCCTCCATCTCGCGCTCACTCACCTCACGCGGCCCAATCCCCGCCAACCCCCAGACACCAGGTCGGCGCCGGGCCAACAATTGCGCCGCCGTGCGTTCGTCAGAGTGCAGATGCGCTCCAGACTTGCGTAGCAGCAGCACGTGCTCCGAGAATCCTGCGTTGGCCGCCAGGAACAGCGGCGTCCGACCATTGCGGTTTCGCAAGTGCACGGAGCCACCCTGGAGAAGCAAGTATCGGAGAATCTCAACTGAGGGTGAAGTTGCTGCGAGGTGCTGTGGAGGTGACGTGGGTGTCAGTTTTTATTTTTGTTTTTGTTTTTGTCTTAATCTACAACTGGGAGCATGGAGGGGTTGCCTTACGATAGGTGTGTTGCCCGAGTAGTCAGCGTCATTCAATAACCATTGGTGTTCTCGGGCCACAATCTCCTCCACGCGCTCAAGATCACCCTGCGCAATGGCGTATCCGAGCACCGTGAGTGACTGAACGCGCTCAGGGAGCGCCCCGTCCGGATGACGGAATACGGGCTGCGAGACCTCGGTCAATTCGCCGCGAAGAGATACGGACATTTTCTTCGCGACCCATTCTGGGGTGGAATCCGGAAGAGCGAGGAGATATGACATCTTGGTTAGTGCGGCTTCGGTGGTCAGATCGAGTCCAGCGACGACTCCCGCGCGAGAGAGACTCATGCCTGGGGCATAGACGGGGCTGACGCTTCCCGTCAGGCCTGGTTGGTTGTGTCAGAAGAAACTCTGGTTGAAGGGAAGGAATTATTGGCAACAGTTTCACTTACATTGCGTGACGTTCACGATCACGATTCCTCGCTTGATAGCGGCGGCCAATACATTGGTCATGGCATTGTCTTGACCGCTGGGTGCGTTACCGGCGCCAAACGTCTCCAGCACTAAACCACGGAGCCCTTCCAGCTTCAGCACGGCATCGACCATCTCCGGCTTGATACCAGGGAAGATACGAAGACACGCCACGTGGGTGGTATCGAGGTTAGTTTGGATACGGAAGTGTTCCAGGCTCTTCGGTCGGTTGACCAGCTCCCAGTTCACGTTGGTCCGCATGGAGGTTGTCACCGCCAGCGGGGGGCAGTTCGGCGAGTCAAAGGCAGCGAAATCACTGGCCGCGACCTTGATCGACCGGTTACCACGGAACAGTCGGTTGTTGAAATACAGACACACTTCGGGGATCATGAAATGGCCAGCCACAACCAGTGATCCGAGAAGGTTATCGGTGGCATCATTCTGCAACTCCAGCATGGGCGCTTGCGCTCCAGTCAGGATCACGGGCTTTCCAAGGTTTTGCAACATGAAGCTGAGCGCCGAGCATGTGTATGCAAGACTGTCTGTTCCGTGGAGGACGACGAAGCCATCGAAAAGTGTGTAGTTTCGTTCAACGGTGTGAGCGATCTGAGCCCAACCTTTCGCATCGATAGAACTGCTATCGAGGAGCTCTTCGAACTCGAAGACAGTGTACCGCACCCGTCGCCCATAGGCAGTCGGTGGTGTGCGGAGAGTGGGATGTCCTTTGATCTCTCCGGCTGAGTTGACCACCACATCCATCATGCTCGGGTGCGAACCATCATTGAAGGTCGGCACGCGGGCCAGACATTGCTCCTGGAATCCTCTGGCAGGAATGAATCCTGATGGGGACTGTCGCATACAAATTGTACCTCCGGTCATGATAATGAGGACCCGGGACTCGGGGATGAGATCGTCCGGCTGCTGCTCAGCCAGCTCGGGCAAGGGACCATTGACATCGAGAGTTGCCATGATGGAGAGCTGTGACGATGATCTCTAATTCTATGGCGTAGACAAGGCGCAACAGACACAAAAGAAGGTAGCGATGAAGTTAGCTGTGAAAGCAAGAATGCGGGGCCTCAGATTTCAGGCCGCTGAGATTCGCCGAGACAGTCACAAACAGGGCTAGAAAGTATCTATTCCAAGAAACGGCCTCCACAAAAAGAGTTTTTGGGGTCGTGAAGCTCGCAACTTTGGAAATAGCTTTCCTTTCTGCGGTAGAAGCCCAGGACAGAAAATGGGGTCAAGTGGTGTTGAGAGTTGGGCACACAAAAGATAAGGTTAGCAGTTTACCTAGCAAAAACAACTATGGACCAGCTTCAAGAACCAGGAGAAAACAGGGGACGTCCCATGATCCTCGCCCCTCTCATATGGAACTACATAAGAACTAGACTAGACCTGGGATAATAGGCTACTTGAATTAAGAGTTGGAGACACCCACCCACATTGTCTCCGATTCACGGCTGCCGCATTACGTACAGAGACTGCGTTGGTGGTGCCAAGAAGCCGCCCCAGCGCAGGATTTTCTTCGTCGGCCACACTCTCTTTTTCGGGTGCGGTGGATTCCTCCGTCAACTTTAACCACCACCGCCTCCACTTCATGTTGGAGTAACTGTCTGGATCTGAGTCTGGGAGATCATTTCCCCTGGGGTTGATGGGAAGCAGTTATAATTATGTCAAACATTGTATGTATGGATCGCAGTGGACTGAAAGTAGGCTCGCAGCATCCCTTGTTAGAACTCTCCTTAATAACCATAGGTCTAGAGCATGAGCTCGACATTGCGAAGAGTTCTATACATAGTACAGCTTCAAGTAACAACTTACCCCATCATGTTCCGTGTTCTCAAGACACGATCCCTAGCATGTAAACAGCTCCCTCACGTAAGTCGAACTCGATCTTCTCTATCAGCGGCATCTTTTGGGGAGGTTTTTCTATGCTGAGTAGCAACGAATAGATCTTTCGCGGTCTTACTTCCTTGAATTCCTTGCATCTTGCTTATCAGCGCGTAAGGCGATGGAGTCTGACTTCATGCTGAAATGGGCGCGTCCGGCACTGTTGAGGCTTGAGGATTGATTCATCTGCATATAGTTTGTGTGCCCAATGGGATTTCGCGGGGCAGGTCTGCCGTTAGCTAGGAGGCGATTATGGTGTGTCCACGGATGGGGATGCTCTGGTGTTTTGTACTATATACTAATAGCTACTATTTCGTCGCATGACTGCGATTATAGTATAAGTTAGGTGCTGTGGATAGAGAAGGTTTTGGTTGTCAGTGTCCTTACTGATATAATTATCCTTATCTTTCTGATCAAAGTGGTTGATATTACTACATCTATGGGTCTATCCATGACATAACCTGCAATTGCTTATAGTACACCATCATTATTGGAAAGTTAAAAAAAGGTACATGATGCGAATCATATGTATACTACAATAAGCCCCAGAAACACCTTACACCCGGCAAAAAGGAATCAAAGCAGCCATCGAACCCCACTAATCACTGTCCAGAACAATAACCTCGGCCTCCGCATCCCCAACACTCTCCACACTCAGCACATCACCCGCATTCACCCCTGTGATGAACGCCCCATCACCTTCACTCAGAACTGCCTCGTCCCGATGATCCAACCGGATCTGGGCCTTGCCGTTCTTCGTCATGGGCAAATGAACATACACGTTCCTCTTCTTCTTGCGGCTAACCACGTCTTCGCCAGCACCAACAGTCCACTGAAACTTCTGCCCCGGTTCAATGATTCCCGCGCCCATCACAAAGTCTGCGTGAATCGGAATCGTGTCTGGGATCTTAGGGACGGCGGCTTCCTCATCGGCCGGGGTTGCTTCGGGCCCGGCAGCCAACGGGGAGAGAATAGGGACGAATGCTTTGCGCTTGGCGGCTTCATTGAACGTGCGAGTGTGGTATTGGGGCTTGAGGCCATGTTTCCAGGGGAGAGCCCAGATCTGGAGGAAGTGGACGGGCTTGTTGGATTCGTTTTGTTCGGAGTGTGCGATTCCTAAAGTGAGTTGGTTGGTTAGTTCGGTCATTTGATTTGAGTTGGTGGAGTTCTACGCTGTTCAACATACCTGTTCCTCCAGTGGTGAATTGAACGTCGCCACGCTTCATGCGGTAGAATTGCTTGCCCTGGGCGCCTTCCGCACCCTTTTTGATCATGCTGTCGCGGTGCGTGAGCTCTCCGTTGAGGATGTAGCTGAAGATCTCGGCATCGCGGTGAGGGTGGGTCGGGAATCCATTACGAGCCGCTACGCGATCCTCGTTGAGAACGCGCAGACTGCCAAAGTTGTTGAAGCGGTGGTCGTAGTAACTGGCAAAACTGAAGGTGTGGAAGCTTTTGAGCCAGCCGCCGTGTTCGGCGTACCCGCGCTCACTGGAGCGACGGGCGACAATGGAAGCGTGGGCAAGAGGTTTGGACATAACGGAGTTGGTGGGAATAATTGACTTGACGAGGAGAAATATTAAAGGAACAAAGAATAGGAGGAGATAGGATGGTGTTGCAATTTGCATTCTGAAGAAAGTATTTCGTCGTTTGTCTAGATCGCTGATCGACTTTATACTCCTGGCCAGAGATCCGGGATTGGCTCGGGCGGGGCGCGGATGGGTAAGTAAGCATGGGGTAAGACTGACTAAGGGGCCCAACCAGCAAATGCCAGCGCCGTCCATCCCGGTTGCAAATCACTGACTGAGCATTTACAAAGTAGGTAGGTAGCTTCCGTTTTGCTGATAGTGGCTGAGCTTCACAATCCAAACGTTCCACCCTGCGCCGCTGGTGCTGAGCACGAGTCAGTTGATCATTACATTTTCTTTGTTGATGATCGGTAAGATTTTATCACGTTGATTGTGATTGGCTGAAAGACCCCGGTGTGTCATGATGTCATAATCACTCTGGACAGTCAATCTCAAAAGAAAAGGGACAGGCTCCAGGGGTTGAGATTTGCTTATGGATCCTCCGTCTGGAATTTTCTCTCGCCAACCTTCCAGCTTCTACCGTCTTCGCGCTGCCAGAATGTCACGGTAGCCTCTCCTGTGTTCTCATCGGGCAATTCGACATGAACATCTGAGATGCGGCACAGAGAAGGCAGTATTGTAATTGAACTACCCGCTTCTGGCAGGCTGAGGATATCCAAGCTTTTTCCAACTGTAAAACTTGTGTCGATATTCCACTCTTCATATGCAACTACCTCCTCCGCAATTCTGGCAGTGAGGGCGCCATTCCATATGCCTTCACGGTGAGGTGCCAATCGAAGCAACCCGATCGCGTGTCGTCGGATCTGGGGAATCCGGCACTTGATTGCAGTGTAATATAATGGCTGGATGAAGCCAATGTCCATCGTAAATGCCATTCCCAGCGGGCAGTTGAGAGATCCACTCATGGGAAAATCTGGATATGCGGTTCTGAGGGCTTGACACATGTCGATTGCCTCACGGATAATGGTCATGAATCTGTCGGTTTGTAGGTCGAATGCCATGTCGTCGTCCCATGGAATGCAGGTCCTGACCATGATCGAGGCCATGGTATGGTACATCCCGAGTAATTTTGTAGCCAAGGTATTCTTGATCAAATCTTGAGCTGAAAATCCATCAAGTGACGATCTATAAACATCAAGCCATATTTCCAAGTCCTTTTCCAGGCGCCATTGAGACTCAAGATATTGCTCGTAGCCCCGAGTCGCGACACACATGCCCGTCTCGATGTGACGAACCAATTCCACCAGACACTGTGCTCTTGCTAAGATAATATCCAGATATTGTCTTGCTTGTTCAATTGACTCAAATTTGTACGGTAAATGACGAGGTTGGATGTCATAGTCAAGGTTCGAGTATTTTGTCCCATGTCCAAGCAGAGCATAGTGCACTCCCAGTCTGCTAAAGGCCTCGATAACATCATCCTCATTTGTTTGCGACGAAGTCCTTATCATAATCTTTCCGGTCTTAGAGGTTCCGGAGAGTTTTTGAATCTCCTTCACCAGCTTCAACCCGTGCTGTAGATGAGCGTGACTCGTTCGGTATTGGCCTCGCATCAGTTCGAGAGTCACGAATACCATGCAAGTAATGAGGGCAACTATCACACTCTGCGGTCGTTGGCTGTGGCATCTTATTTTAGCATGGAGACAGCCAATAGCTTTGTTGTAGTGTTGAAGAGTAAACTTCTCATGCTCGCTTAGCTGGCTCGCCATTGTAGTACCCTTGTCGCTCCTCTGAGCCCTATATCTATGCGTAGAAGCCAATGCCATAACAGCATGTCGCACTGCTGGCTCTTGAGAAAGTGCTTGAACAACTGTCCTGCCCCAGAACTGGGAAGAAAACACTCCCCCAATCTTAAGAATAGTACACTCGATGAACCATTCCACGCATTTCTGTTCAGCACATGCGGCATGGGGAATTGGTACCGGTGCATTGTAACTAGACAGTAGGGACGGAAAAATCCTCGGTGCGCCAGAATTACCGCCATAGGTGGTTTTCCTTCCCTCGCTCCAAATTCCATAGCCATCGCAAACGCGGCCGGTGGACACGCACCTCTTGCATGCCGGTCGACCCTCGTCGCATTTGACTCGACGAATTCTGTGTATAGTATAAGCACTATATCAGGTAGTGTAACAAGGCAGCCGCTTGACTCACTTGCATGTCCGACAGCCAGATTTGACTTTAGGCTTGCTCGCACGGCGCTTCTTCTCGGATTCCATTTCAGCGCTCAGCAACTGGTTCGACTGTTCGCGGGGTTGCCTTGGTACTTATGAAAAAGCCTTGCCGCTATGCATGTTAGTCACAGGCTTAGGCGAGGAAAAGTCTTAGCGGCAAAAAGAAACAAGAGTAATCGACAATGAGATAGGACAAGGATGATGAGTTGCTGACAGGCTGCCTCGCTGCCTTGAGGCCGACCCGCTAACCCTGCCTCTCATTGGCCCGCTCGTAAAATTTCCATTCAGATTGGTTGCTCAAGACCCACTTGTACAGAAGTGCTCTTGCTCTCATCTTTGTCGCTTCGTCTTCGTCTTCTTATTTAATTCTACAATGAACCGACCAATTAGTCCGGTCGCTCACAGCTGTCATTACTAAAAGTCATTGCTACGAAACTAATGCAGGTGAAGTAGCACCTGATCATCTCAGTCAGCTCTATTCTCAATGTGCCCAGGGGACATCCAGTCCAACTCATCAATGCATGCTTGTTTCACAGCATAATGGAGCTGGATCAATTCAAAATTCCATGGAGCTATTCAAGTAAGCTCAGGTCTTTCTCTTCTTGCCTTTTAGGTATTTTTGAATCTCTCACACGGCCAAAGCGGCTGTACTGATGCCCGAGATCCCACGCTCGCCTTGCGCACTGTCTGACCCTCCAGAGCTGATGCTCTTTGGAATTTATCCTAGGACAGAACTCCTTTCAAAACCTGTCAATCTATATGTCATCACTTGCTATATTTTATTTGATCGTGGCAGTAACTGATGATAGCGATTATTCTTTATACTGCAGAGGGAGTGAACTGGCCAGGGGAAATCAAACCAGTGGATGCTCTATATAGCAGTCAATACTCTGGTATGCAAGTGTGCTAGAATAAGCTTCTTAACAAGATTTAGTGGGCTTGAAGCTGATCAGATAAGCTGAGATTTGAATGTAGTTCATGCCTACATCACCTATTCACGTCTTAACAGTCTTTATTTGATGCGAACTTGTCCCATGTGTCGACGTCCATGTGTGTCTTGTAACACCTTGGACTTTTGATCTGACAAGGTGTCGAGTTCAAAAGTTAGATTCACAATAGATGGTCGGATACATCATGTACAAAATGATCTATGGGCCGAGGTTCGCCGTGTACGGAGCTCACATGTCGGTTAGCTGCAAGGACCGGCCTATTGGGTGGATGTCACTACGCTCGAGCAATCATTGGGCTGCATCAATCTTATGGCGTGATGCACCAACTTTACTAGATAATCCTGTCGGGCCATTTAGCTTACACCGCCGGCAATGTTCCTGGTCATAGTGGCTGGCGTAGCCACGGTTAGCCATCTAAAGTACTGGAACCGGGGCTTGGAACGAATCGGTTGACGGTTTAGTGTGCTTGGAGTAAATGCCAGTAAGAATGCCAGTTGTCTTCCTTAAGGTACTTAATTTCCCCAATAAATTGCCTTATCCGCGTCATCCGTTTACCTAGTGGCTCAGGACAATATTACGCCTGTTCTATAGGGTCGGCTGAATGCGACACTTTCATTTAGCTTGCTACGTGGTAGATAAAGCCCCCTGGGAGCGAGCCCAAACTGGCGTGCGTTGATCGGTCTTATCTCTTATCTTTTTGGTCTTTATTAAAGCCCTTGCCGCATGCATTTGTCTTTAAATTTCCCGTTTCATTGTACGAAAAGAAGTGGGCTGCGTTCTCAAGATGGCTCAGTGGAAAGGTCTGATCGCTGACAAACTAAGGGACCGTGCATCCAAAATCCCTCCTGAATGGGTTCTTCCCGAGACAATTATAAACCAAATTACCCAGGATGCCAACATAAGTGCTTTCGACATCCTTAGACGTCATGATTTGTTGTCAAGGGAAGAGGTGGCTATCACAGAGTCCTATGACGCTCAAGGCCTTCACCAGGATATCATCGAAGGCCGATTGACCTCGCTCCAGGTTTGCAAGGCCTTTTGTAAGAGAGCTGCTATTGCACAACAGTTGGTATTTATGTATATTACACTCGGGTCGTTATCGGTCCAGCTAACGCAATAAACCAGACAAACTGCGCGACTGAGATCCTTTTCGCCGAGGCGTTCAAACGAGCAGAGTTTCTTGATGGATATCTGGCCAAGTATGGAAGGCCTTATGGGCCCTTTCACGGCCTCCCTATCAGTGTGAAGGTAAGCGTCCGGCTCAGTCGCAAATCATCTCACTTGAATTGGCGAATACTGGAGCCGATGTCCTTACTAGCACCATTGCCGCGAATCTCACCATGCAACAGGACAGCTTCAATATCAAGGGACAGGCTACAACCATTGGCTTTGTTTCTTTTCTGGGGAAGCCAGTCGCAGCTGAAAATTCGCCCCTAGTTGATATCCTCTTTGCTAACGGCGCCATCTTGTACATCAAGACAAATATTCCACAGACACTGTTGGTACGAAGTTGCCGTTTCTTTCGTCTCGCGGTTCTCTGCTGACACTCGGTCTACCTGAAGACCATGGATAGCGTCAACAATATTTTCGGAAGAACTTTAAACCCTCACAAGCTTTGCCTCAGTGCGGGTGGGAGTAGTGGGGGTGAAGGTGCATTGGTGGCCTTCCGAGGTTCCATACTAGGAGTAGGCACAGACGTCGGAGGATCCATTCGTGCACCGAGTCTCTGCAATGGCACATATGGCTTCAAGCCCACAGCTGATCGCATACCTCACGGGAGGGTTGAATTAGGGGACAGGCCGGGGACACCAGCGCTCGTCTCCGCAGTTGGACCACTCGCCAACAGTGCATCAGACCTGACTTTCTTCTGTAAGACAATTCTCTCGTCGGAACCATGGCGCTATGACTCTACCGCACTTGGCTCGGCATGGCGGCATGTACCCCCCAAGAAGAAACTAAGCATCGGGGTTTATATGGGGGACGAGCACTTCCCACTATTTCCCCCTGTCAAACGAGCACTTTCCTCCGCACAGGCTGCGCTTGAAAATGCCGGCCACAGTGTCCACCTTGTAACCAATGCTCCGTCCTTTCACGATGGTCTAAAGCTGGCGGCACGGTACTTTTTGTTCGATACCAAACAGACCCTTCTGCAACACGTTTTGGATGGAGAGGAGCAACCAATCAAAGCATTGGAGTATACCTCTCCAGCTGCTCTAGCTGGATTACAAAATCCTACACTGACATTAGACGATGTCTGGGCCTCCAATGCTTCTCTTATGGAGTACCGGGAAAAAATGGCTGAAGTGTGGAAACAATATAATCTGGACGTCCTCATTTGTCCGGGTCACTGGTCAACCGCAGGCCCACATGATACTTATGGGCCACCAGTATATACGGTTATTTGGAATTTGTTGAATGTAAGGGAACTTAAACATACATCTGCTCTGATGTATCGTGCTGATGCAGGATATCTTAGTTTCCCGCGAGCATCATTCCATATCTGAAGGCTAATAAGTCTCTGGATTCGGAGGCATGCAAGGGTTGTAAGTCTTTTCGTTGACCTAGCCATGAGTGTCAGCCACTTATTGCGACTATAGATGATCCTGATGCAGTAGACGGGGCACCTACTGCTATTCAAGTTGTTGGGTGGAGGTTTCAAGATGAAGAAGTCCTGATGGCTACTGAAGTCATTGACAAGGCTCTTCAATCTGACCTACGGTACCGTCCAAGATTATGACCTGACGAAAGCTTCCTCAATTTGCTACGTTTCTTTTTTTAGTTCGAGAGACGAGGATTCTCTTAGTTCACTCCTCTGTGTTCACTACGAGCACCTATTCTGCGTGATGGAGACAGCCTGTGTATATAAGTGAGAAAGTTCTGTTCATGGATGACTGTAGGCAGGGCCATCATTTGGGACATTTGCTTTCGTGGCAGTTTCTATATTCTATATTATCTTCTTGACGTCCCGTGAGCCATAGTTTGCATACTAATCAGAATCGGAATACGATTGCTCCCTTACCTATTATACTTGACGTACGCAGCGCAAGAGCCAAGACCTAAACCAGATGCAGGATCAGTGTCTGCATGGCAAGCGATCAGTATAGACAAGACTAGAAACAGAATCTTGAGGGTCCATTAGCACTACGCAGAGCCTGTGGAAGAGGATGAAAGCAGGAACTGATAAGTCCGGTTGTCGGGCAACGCTATAAGCCATCCACTTCGGTAGTTAGGGACGGTGAATGACATCACGGATAAGAATGATCCGTTCCGAGATGGAGTGTTAGTTTCATGAGCCTCCTACTATCTATACAAAACTTTCCTCTTTGTTGTTTCTGAAGAGCGCGTGAGTGCAGGTGTTGCAGTCAACATCGTGTTGTAAGGTTGTGGTTGGTGTGCTTGCACACGAACTGGGCTGATACAACGAACCCATATTCTCTCTGCTCTTCGGCGTGCGACTCTTCAATATTAACAACCATATATCCTCTTACTATCGCTTGAGCGAATATTTACTCTCAAAGGTGCTTCTTATCACGCCGTTTACCTCACAGGTGCTAACGCGATCCTCAAGGAAAAGTCAATAACCAGCCAAAATGGCCGAAAATGACAAGCAAAACCCGGACACATCAGATGAGGGTTTATATGATTTGTGAGCTACACCATTCTCACATTATACTTGGTTGGTTGATTTTATTCATTGACTAATGGATCCTATACTAGCATGGTCCCTTTGTGCCCCGGGCCCTATGTCACTATTCAAGTCGGCGACAAAGGGGCCAAGTACAAAGTATCCCGTCCTCTCCTCTGCAGACATTCCTCCTATTTCAGAGCAATGTTCGATAGCTGTTTCAAAGAGGGCAACGAGCAAGCAGTGACTATGCACAAGATCAGAGGCGTTGTCACTGAGCGTAGCCTCCTCATGCTGCTCCAGTGGCTGTACCTTAATCGTATCGAGTTTCCATCGCAGATTCAAGGAAGATGTATCAATGCGTACATCGAACTGGCTCGACTGGCGGACATGTGGGCTATCACAGGCATGGAACAACTTCTGGCTGATAAGATCAAAGCCATCATTACCAGCTCTATTCCCCGAGTTAACCTATCATGTGCCGGAGGAGAAAACGGAAAGATTCGTCACCTGACTTCTAGCCATATTAAGTCGGCCTCGATGTTGTTCAAGGGTCATCCGGTCCGCTCTCTCATCGCTGAGGCTTCGGCCGGTCCCTTCATTCTCATGGAGAATTTCAAGTTCGCCAGAGAGCTTCGTGAAAACCCCAATTATGCTGGTGATCTGCTTGACGAATTGAAGGATTTGATCAAAGGGCAGGTCAAGGACAAGAGAGTCATCACTCCCTACACCCTTCATTATTGGAAGAGTTCTTGATTGGGTGAATGATACCTCTTAGGAAACATGAGAGGGTTTTGATCGAATATGGCCGGATTACACTGCCACGGCTTAGCGCGGTCAGCAGGAGTAAGGATATCTGCCTGTTCAATGTGGAAGCTTCTTCGTGTTCTTTTTCTTCTATCCTCTCATTTGATTTTTTATCCAAGCAGCAACTAATCCGCTGGAGTCATGACTTTGTCAAGGGATTTTTGTCCTGGTGGAGTCGCTCTTTTGTGTATGCAGCTAAATAGGTGCCGCTGTTTCTTAGCTCAGGATAGCGACATGATGATATTTAGGTAGTCATAGTCACATTAGCGGGCTTAATGAAGCCAAGAATGGAATATGAAATTATGAATCTAATTCTCTAAATTCTAGAGTGCGGCTGGTCTGCAAAGCCGTAATAGACTTCTACGATGTCACGCACCAGATGTGCCCGACTCGGAGTAGAATGAAACAGGGAGATGCTTGCAGGAGGGCAGAGAGACACGAGAAGTTATGCCGGAGAGGCAGTTTACCCCACTATCTCCATCACCAAACGAACCATGGATATAATAGTATAGCTTCGCTATTCCGAGCAGCTGTCAGAAACACTCCCAATACACACAAAAGGGGCTTTGCAAACTTCTTTCCGGATCCGAAAATGCAAAGTCGACATACACGTAGCAGAAAACAAGCGGTGAAAATTTCCTTTTCTTTCAAGCCACAAAGACAATAGCGCGCTTGGGCTTCGTAATGGCTTTGGAGGCGTATAGGGCAAAAGTGCGGCCTAGAATGTTCTGAGGAGACGATGTTGTGGCCAGAAACGGTCTAGCTATGTTTGCGGGGGTCACATGGAAGGAGAGGTTTTTGCTCCTTCTATTTTGTACTCCGGATTCTACTTTCCCCTCCATTGTGGATTTACAGGGTTCTGTCTTCCTCATCCTTGGAATACATTCCATTGAGCTTCGTTTCAAGTTGGAAACTACGATTTGGAAAGCCTCGACTATATTTTAAACTTTTTTGAAATTGATCTATACCGACTCTATATCACCCGGGTATCGTCTATATACAGATGCTTTTTCTTTTTCAGTCATGATGAAGATCCCAGACTCGCTAGGTGTCTTCGTGTGGTTTCATAACCCATGGATGTGCCTTTGTTTCGTTTGAAGCACCCATGACACGGGAATAAGGGGAGGTGAAGAGTATTTGATGATCCAGCGTCGCTTTACTCGGCACTTTCTCCTTCCACGCAACTCTGGCTGCCTCGGAACGACTTCCTTCCTCGTATAAACCAGTCAGCCAGAACAATGAAGATAACGACACCGTAAACGGCCGAGACATAGTTCATATCTGCAATCCTGTTAGTCACTGCATTCATCGTATAAAAATGTTTGATATGAATACTTACTTCCTGTTGTGACTGGCATAGTCGAAGGGAACGAGTACATAACGAGACAGAAGAGAGTCCATGCCAGGGTGACATAGTTCGCAGCAAGACCCCACTTACCCAGCCAGAATGGGCCGTGCTTGATGTTGTCACGACCAACATACAAAAGGCAGATGACGGGGATAGAGTACGATATGTACAGAAGCGAGATGCATGCCGTGACCATACTGTTGAAAGCGGTAGAGGATCCCAGGTAGAGCAAGCCGAGAACAGCAACAATAAATGCGCTGGCGTTGTGGGCGTGCAAGGGGACATCCAAAGTCATGTTGACCTTGGAGAGCAGCTGGTGTCCAGGCATACCGCGATCACGAGCAAAGGCCCAGGCAAGACGTGACTGCCAAGTGTGGCAGGCAATCAGGCAACCCATACCCGTCACCACTAGGAGAGTTTCCAGAACAATTGCACCTGCCCTGTTCCTCAGAGCTTGGTAGTACAGTTCCAGAATTGGCACTCCTGTGGCGGTATTCAAAAGTGCATCAAGATCGTTGAGACTGAAGAACATCGCAATACAGTAGGTCCAGGAGGTAACGAAACCGATGCCGACGGTGGCCATGATCGCAACGGGAATATTCTTCTCAGGCTGTGGCACCTCTTCGGCAAGATGAGTGGCCGAATCCAAGCAGGCAAAGATCCAGTTCGGGTTAATCAACCCGACAATGAAAGCGATTCCATCCGATTTCCAACCAGTGGAGTTGACGAAATGCCCAAAAACATAGGATCCGCTGGCATGCGGGTTGGCGCAAGCCGGAACAACAATAAGGATGACCAGGAAAGAAAGCAACGAGATGTACAGCGTTGCTTTTGCCACAGCAGGCAGGGTTTTGCCCCAGCAGTTGAAGAGGTAGCAGAAGAAGTTGATGAGCTGGTATGCCACTACTGTATGCCAGGCTTTCGGAACACTGTGGTTGGAGTCAGCACTACGGACCTAGAGCGGAAGACACTTCCTCTCAGAGAGCAAATGGGATTTGGAAGCATACAATGACGGGTGGCCAAGTTGCCACATTCCCACAACACCAGATCCAAGACTGAGCGCAACACTGGCACTCGCGAAAATGGCACCAGCATATCCAAACCAGCCGGTAAGATAAGAGAAGAACCGGGCATATTTCCTCGGAGCAAGCTCGTTCGCCCAGAAATATTGCCCACCGGCATTGGGCATGGAGCTAGCCAATTCCGAGAGGGAGGCAGCGACACAAGTCGAGATGAAGGTGATCCAGAGCAAGCCGTAAACGATGAGAACAGTACCTCCGGAGCTGATACCGGTGATCAAGGAAGCCGAGATACCGAACCAAGAGTTTGACATACAGAACGCAATGCCGACCAGTGAGAGCAGGGAGAAATTGCGCTGCAGGTCCTGCGTGTAACCCATCTCAGCCAGCTTGAGCGCATCTGCATCGTCAGATCCAGACGCATTCTCGCCGGTCGAGGCCTGGTTAACGCTCAACTTCTTTTCAATATCGAGACCACTCATTGTTCCAGACAAATATGGTAAGAGTCAGCGTTCAATGACAAACGTTGTGAAAAAGACGGATTTGGCGCAAAGGGCAATCGAAGGTCGCTAGGCTAGACTGCCGTGGCTGCAGGGTAATCGCGTAGGAGGTCCTCGGGTCTAAATTGCTTAGATCAGGGCCTGTTGCATAAGGGCTTAGTTTCTCGGAGACGCTCGGCGATATGTTGCTGTTGGACAGTTTGGCTGCGGTGGCACACGTTTCCCGGGATTCGGATGTCGCAAATGGGTGTCGAAAACCGTTGTTAAAGTCGCAAGGAGGGCAGATCAACTTGTCGCAGGAGGGCTGAGAGGCTGTACCCGACGATACGGCGATACAAGCATACAAAACGCCCGAAGCAATCGGATTTACAGAAGTCAATCTGTGTTTCGCTGGGTGTGCTTTGAGCTATCAACAAAAGCGGATTGGTGTGGAACAGGACAGCCAATGCGGAGGATGATGAAGCACTAGACCTTCGCCGCGAAGCTCGCAGAGAAGGACAGTTGCAAGAGGAGAGGAACAAGAAGGGTGGGAGGAGAGATGGAGGAAGAGAGTGTTCGAAGTTGCTATGAGGGTTGGGCCAAATTGGGATGCGTGAGAGTATTTAAGATCTGAGAAGATCTTTTTCTTTTTCTCTTTTTCGCTCTTTTTCCCCTCCTTCATCTTCGAATCAAGCCTCCTTCGGCGTACCCACCAGTCTTACGACGGAAGGGTTCCCCATATCCTGTTTGCTTCTGTTCGATGACGCTCCCCCGTCTTCTGCCACTCCAGCAGTGATACTAACCATAATGGACATAGTTATGCAGACGCAGCCAAATCTCGTGGTTCCGATTCGTGTTTCGACCGCCTCATATCGTCATTAGAAGGTCTGTCCAGCCGGGAAATTAAGGTAGAGCGCTAAACAACCAACACATTGAGACCTCTAGTCAATTAGTGGCCCTTTTCTTACCAAAAGGCTCTTGTGGTGCTGGTGCTGCCGTTGGTGGAACTGCGCTTGAGGTTCGGTGCCGCAGACCATCGAGGGCTTTCGTTGGCTACTCGCTGCTGCAGGGAGTGGCGGGCCCCCACTTGGTGCCGTTGGTGGGCTTGGGTTCCGACGGCAGATTTTTACCAGACTGACTTCCTCTGGACACAGGACACTTCTACGAATCGCACGTTTCTGTGCCTGTGTGCCGGTGGAAAGGCAGCTCCGCTTACGGAGCTTCGTATCCTTTCTTTTCATTCTGCTAGTATTATCGCACTCGTCATACCGCCTGCAGAGATGAGCGTGTGCAGAAACCGCGCACCAGTTAGGCCAGTCGGAGTTATTACCCCTTGGGCCCTTAGCAGTCTGCCAGGCCCGGGCCGAGCTTATGAAAAAGTTTCTCAATAATCATCACCAACTCCTCTGGAGACCAAAACCCCTTCTGGCAATCACATCCTGAACTTTCTTTATCGTGACATCAACCCCCAATTTGCCAAGTAGCTAAGGTCAAGAAAAACCTGGGGTTTATTGAGTATAATTCTACATCACCATACACTGAGGCAAAGAATGAATTGGATCTGAACCCTCCGGTCTTCTTGTTGGGGCTGTATCCGAACTTTCTCCAGCGGACCAGCTTCGACGGTCTTTCGCTACTAATACTGTCTGGGTTAGCTCGATTGGCTCGCACCCGGAGCCACGCAGTGGATCTCTATACCAATCTGAGCCTCTCATTCGCAAGCAGGAGTCGTCTAAGAGCACGAGAGGAGAAACATTTGACTAAGAGAATTCACCGGCCGACCTTTGTGAATCGAGGTATTTTCTTGGTACTCTTCTCGGTCGAATAGGAATGGCAAGTTGGCCGCTACCTAGTGTACCTAAAGTGCCCGATTGAAGGACGCTAGATTAGTATCAAACCCGAGCGACCCGACACGTCGTATGGCGTACGGAGTAATCAGTGATCCCTCCTTCAGAGACTCTGCTTCTTCCTGTGCAGTTGGTTGCGCTGCAATGAATACAACCTGCTCGAAATAAGGACTTCTAGCTGCTGACTGATGACTTAACGTGGGAGCAGATGCATGCACGACATCAGGGACCTCAGCCACGGAATCCTCCCGCAGCTAAAGCTGCCTGGGACACCCCTATCGTTAAGTTTCCTTTTTAGGGCCAGCAATCGTTGCCTCTCCGAGCGGACTAGGGCCATTAAGTTTCCGGTGCCCGTTTTACAATGCCTGACTCGACGATCGTTACCTGCACCCTAAGCATCTCCGACTTCACAAAACGATGAACAGCCACTTAGTTGAAACATTAACTAAGCGGCATGTTAGAAAAAATTTTATGCACCATTCCGATCTTCCGAGACGTCCATCCAACACATCATGCCTGTGTACGCCGCAGAGCGGCACAATACGTCCTGTCCAAGACGGCCATAAACTACTATAGTCGTAGTAATATTTATCTAAGCCAATCGACTTAGCCGGTCATCAGCCGGTGCCTCATCTGTATCCGCCACGAAGCTGGGGCCGTAGGATTCCTTTCCCGTCTGGGGGATAGCGCCTAGATAAGATTGCTTTGGACGCACGACTCTTTACCGCATTTAGTAAGTCTTCATTCTCCCTCCATCGATCTCACTTTGTAGCTGCGCCAGATTTTCGAATAGGCTTCACCACCGAAAATAATGGATACTTTTACTGTTTTGGGGGAAGGTTTGCCGGGTGCTCTAGTACAAAGTAGTACATAGTAGTGGGCAGCGGCGAGTAATCGATAAAAGTCGCTGATATAGGTGTCTACTCAGTATCCAGTTAGACAACGGAGTACTTTTCTCTGAACTGTCAGGATGTCGGCCCACTCGCACTTGACGGTGACTTTTATGGACGCTTTTACGGATGGATACTGTTTGTTGAGCTAGGGACGTTGATCCGTTGACATGCCCACAGTACTGTCGCATCAAATAGAACATGAGTACGCGTCGTCTCAGCCGTCGCTCAGCACTTAGTATCTAGTATTCAAATGTTGAGATTGATTCGAGCCGTTGGAACAAATTAATGATGGACCGTTCACTCACTAATCCTGGCATCCAGACTTCCCTTCGGCTGAGGGTCCTTTCGCTCGGTCGCTTTAGTGCATGAGCAGCTTATCCCAGCAATTTAGACCTGAAAGCTCTTACTTTAAAGATGCTTAGTGTAGTTATTGTGGATTGGGGTTCCGTTTCAACGGTCAAGCTTGTGTTATATTAATTTCATAGTACACTAGGTGGGAAATCATTGATAACACGCCGATACGTATTACCATATAGTGTAGGCTTACGTACGGAGAATTCATGTTATTATCAATATAATTTGTCGGGTTGCAATGTGTCGCACAAGATTTAGTTGAGGGGATATATTGTTTTAAAAGTTGTACGACGACAAGGATATAGCGGGCGGTCGTAAGGATTTACCAGGCACTTGGAAGATAGTAAGTAGCTGAAGGGATAAATAATATCGAGAAGGGTCAACGGGGTCTGGAATATTGTTTCTTATGTTTTGTGGTATGATATTGAAAGTATGAGAATTTCCATTTTCTACTCGTGATGATCTTTTTTTGTTCCCCTCATTATGGATAGTCGTTCAACTACAATAGTGTTGATCGGTATACCATTATCATAGGGGATGGCAACTATAAATATATGTTGCCGCTTCGGTCGGGGTTGTCCATGGAGGATCATTTATTTCTCCCAGCGGTAATCTATCTCGATCGGATGGGAATATGACCGTATCGTGAAACTCGTCATTGTTACTATTCTGTTTATATCTAAATGTATGCCTTGGATAGGAATATCCCTGTCCTGCATCCTTTCAATACGATGTGATTGTTTTCCATGCATCAGCCCTGATTGCTGTCAAACAGAGAAAGCTGTTTCATCTTCCAAATGTCGCGCGCGTACAAAGAATTATTCCAGCGACACAACCAACACAATTAAACTCACATATGACACTATACTAGCTAGCTAATCTACCATCAGTAGTATAGTTGCTTCCGCGATAAGCTCAAAGTAGAGATGCGTCCGGATCTCCCAGCTGCAGCCTGCAAGCTGCAGTCTGCGACCGACGGAACAGCAGCACGCTAGGCCCCAACCAACCTCCCTAGTGGCTTGTTAGCCAGGGACACCCGGTGGTTTGGTCCCTTGTTTCCCCTGGCTTTCCTTGTTGCAGGTTGCTGACCGGGCGCTCTTCCCTCCACAGTTTGACCAAATAAACTGTTTCATGTTCCTTCACACCAACTTGTTAGATCGCTGATCTGCATCTTCAATAGGATAAGCCGATTAATTATGGCACTCCTGAGCATGCCCCAACCACATCCGACGAACTGCTCCCACCGCTCGGACCAGCGAACCAGAAGTAGGAGTGCAGGGCTACTAGGTCACTCCTCGAGGCGCACTGCCCCCCCTTGGCTGCTCCTGGGGAAAATAAATTCGTTCGCTTAGATTTAGCAGCGCTCGCTTGCCAGGCAGGATGCTGGAGCAATTGATTGCGTCGGGATATGGATAATTCTTCGGTTCTTTGCGAATGTCTCTTTATTGTGGATGGGAGAAGAAAATAGAAACTACACTAATCTACGCGACATGAGTTCATCTTGCAGGTCCTGCACCCGATCGGCGCGATGATGCATGATTAGCGACAGCAGATAGGATTGTGCGACACCCCTCGAGAGCTTGGTACATAGGCAGGAGTAGTATCGAGCTGAGTGGGCCCTTCAATATCCCTAATTATAGAGAGTTCAGGTCTATCGACTCACTAGATCTCCCAACAACCAACCACAAGACATTATCAATGATCCCTCTCAAATTCTTTCCCTGAGAGCCATATTATCTGCTGGAATCTATGTTTAGCAGACAAAGAGTGTAACACTCTGAGCGCCAAAAATGGGACCATGGCTATTGTCTGACCCTGGTTTGTGACTGCGCTCAGCTTACATTGCTAGTAGCTTTCCAGGATGGCCAACTTTCCTGATCGGCGGACGGTTCCTTTATAATGTATCTATTACCCCTCTTGCTCATGAGCAGTCCTTGGCTTGCCCTGCTCTTTATTCTTGCCACTCTCCTTTATCACCATCTTTGTTGTTATTGTGCTTTACGGACGCCTTTTGACGTCCTTCCGCTCTTCAAAAGTTGGTTACGCTCTAACATTTCGCAAGATTTGCCATTCTTTTGTTCAACTTCTAGTTGATTCGTTCGTTCTTACTATTTAAGACGTGTTCTGGTTGATTCCAGCTGATTGTTCGTGGCAAGGACATGAGTAATGCAACTGAGTACTAAACAGAAACCCTAGATTCCTGGTATCAGTCCCATTCCAAGGAATCAACAAGACAAGTATTGATCGGCGAACGTCACCCTTGTTTATCCTAGGGAAGAGAATGTAAGTTGTTACTCTTCCTTCTTTTCGGTCCCCATAACGAGCTTGTTTGGTGGTTTTATTCTGCATCAGCCTTCGCCTTAAGCTGCATCCACGCGAAGGCCGGTGGCGAGTGAAGAGCGCAGCCACTGGACTTGGTATGCAAGGGGATCCCCTTGCCTTCAGTCTGCCATCTACTTGAGCCCCGATCTTACAGATTGGGCGGCCGAGCGCGCTATAACAGTTTGGTGTCCGTTCCAGAGTTTGTCGGAACTATTCCAGATTGCTTTGTCATTGTTGTTGTTATTCCTGTTCTTATACTATGGCTGCCACCCGCGTTGGCACTTGCTTTCCATATACCAAGTAGTATTGACGGTTCCATCGCAGTGACTTTTCTCCCTTTCGGCTTTTTCATTCTTTGCTCGTCACTCCTTACTACATTTGATGGCTTGAAGCCTTGACTTATACTTTCGGCGACGCGTGTAGTCGATAAATTCGCTCATTAAACCGTACGCTCGCTACCGCGCGTTTATTCATCTCTCGCTCATTTGAAATACCTACTATCAACCATGCGACGAAACGTCGCCCTTGTGGCCTGTCTGGTCGCGCTTTCTAGCGTTGCTGACGCCTTTTGGCGTCTCCCCTGTCGTGGACGAAGTGGTGTGGCTCGAATTGACCCCATAATGGCCCCGGGGAAACCATCAGACCACGTCCATGTGGTTCACGGTTCAGGAGGTTCGTCCGGCTTCAGTGTGTCTGCATAATGATGCCTCCACTAAGCCTGGCTCTATAGGTTTCTCTATGACATCGGGCGAGACGGACCTGAAAAATGCGGATTGTACCTCATGCGGGGTGACGCAGGACAAGTCGGCTTACTGGGCCCCCGCGCTATACTTCATGCATGAGAATGGCGATGCTGAGCTTGTCAACGAAGTCGGCGGGATGCTTGCGTGAGTGTCGAAGCCAATGTCCAGCGCGGTCATATGCTAACTGACCCGTCACAAGTTACTACTTCCTCAACGGACAGAATGTGACGGCATTCCCTGAGAACTTTCGTATGATTGCCGGCGACCCGTTTCTACGTAACTTCCCTTGGCCAGTCCCCGATCCTCCAAAGTCCGAGTGGTCTGGCAATCAATCCTCACAGGACGCTCTTCGCCAGAAAGCCCTGGGTTTCAACTGCTTGAACTATGACAAATCTCCCGAGCCGTCGCTGGGCCGTCACTTCCTGCCAAATAAGACCTTCATGGATGAGCACTGTACTGATGGTGTCCGATTTGAATTGATGTTTCCGTCATGCTGGAATGGCAAGGATGTTGACTCCAAGGATCACAGGTCGCACATGGCCTACCCATCCCTGGTCATGGACGGGGATTGTCCGGATGGCTTCGAGACCCGCCTTGTGTCGCTCTTCTATGAGACTATCTGGGACACATATGCGTTTAAAGACAAGCAGGGCACTTTTGTTCTTGCAAACGGCGACCCAACTGGATACGGCTATCATGGAGACTTTATCTACGGCTGGGATTCTGGGGTTCTTCAACAGGCCGTGGATGAATGCACCAACCTGTCTGGTCGGGTGGAAGACTGCGACTTATTCGATCTTCAGACAGATGCTGAGCAGGCGCAGTGCAACTTCACCATGCCAGAAGAGCTAAAAAGCGAGAACGTGTACCTTCACAAGGGTGGCTTGCCGAATAACATTGCCATCCAGTATGGGCCTGCGTATGCAAGCCCAGTCCGGTATACCAACACTGGCCATCATACTTCGGCAATATTGCCCGAGCCAAGCATTGCTATTGGTGCTTCTCTCGATGGTGCTACTGTTGATCTTGGAAATATCCACATTGGCGTAACACTGGGCGCCCCGTCTACTACTTCTAGTTCAACTACTCTCTCGACCTCAATTCTCCCATCCTTGACACAGTCTTCGACCTCGACCACTTCAGCGGCTTCAGCGGCTTCAGCCTACTTTCTCCAAACAACCACTTCAACTACACCAACCACCACCTGGACACCTACTCCTACCACCGCCTATGTCGAAGGCGTTGTCACTCAGAAGATCGTGTACGTTGAGCAGGAGATTCTTGTCCTCACGGATGAAAAAGGGGCGCCTGTCACAACAGAGACAGGTGGATTGGAGACAGTCTCCACTTCTACAACCACGGTGAACAAGGTTGTATCAACAGTCGTGACCACGCCAACCGAGGCTCCTGCTAAGCGCGATGACCATAGCCATAGCCATTCCCGGCATGTTCATCGGCGTCATCGTCACGGACATGCCCATCGAAGATGATCCATCTTACTCTGAAAACGACTGGCGCGTACGATGACAATGCCAATGACACAAGCCCCCAAGCAAAAATCGGCCCTTCGGTCCGGTCTAACTGGGCTAGGAAATCTCGAGCTGGTTCCCTTGACTTCGTTTCTCTGGATGCAATTTCATTGTTTCGGTTCTTCATGTATGAATGTCTATAACATGTACATAATTATTGTTTGTTCCCCCTTGTCTGGAACAGGTGAAAATTCGGGCTACTATCGCTGTTCTCTTGACGAGAGCTGAGATATGTCTTGTCAGATATGGTGTCAAATATTATGTGGATGAATATTGTTTTGTCTATTGCAGTATGCTGCTTCTATTCTGCGTTAGGCTTAGAGCTCGAATTAGCGACATTGCACTCATCTCTGAGTGGTAATCGAGTGGGGTGGGCAGTTTGGTCACTGGCTCTGTCAGTGAATTTGCCTCTGGCATACTAACTTAACACTCAGATCTGAAGGCTAACACTCAGTATGCCTGACCTTTATCTACCTCAACGTCCTCCTTAACCACCTATTCCATTACCAATTACACCTTGCTCCCTCCGATCCATACAATACTCCATCTCCTTTGCACAAAGCCTACCTCACATATATCAGATCCCTACACCGATACAGCTTCAGGCATCACCGACATGCCCCTCAGAATCACATCCAGCCATAAAGCCGTCTTCGTGGCATCATCCGACGCAGCACCCGACTCCTCCGACCTGTCCGAGCTATCCGAAGACGACCTTATCGAACCAGACGACTCTGAAGACGACACCCTCTTCGACCATAACAGTTACGAGATCGGCCCCGCAATAGCAACCAGACAGCTAACTATACACCACTACAACGTAAAGGAATGGGATACTCGAGACGCGTATCGAGAACTATACAAACATTGGTATGTAAGTTGCTACCATCCATCTCCATTCCCAGCCCTACTTACTTACCTCCCCTCCCCCCTCCAGGAAACAAACAATCACCAAGTCCTTCGCCGTAGAAGATACCTTCCACCATGAACACCACGAAACACACAAGAATATCACAGTCAAGGCCCTAATCCCAACATGGCCCGGATATATGGGGTTTATCCGGTACAGCAAAATAACAGGAACAGTCACGTTTATTAATGCTGATGCCTACCTTCTACAATACACACACACCATTGAACCTGATGACTCTACAACGACCGACAATAACAATAACAACAACGACAATGACTCCCTCTTCCAATTCCAAAACGACCGACTCAACGCCGTAGCATACGTCCTACTCCTCTCAGGTTTCAACATCCAAATCACCTCCCGAAACCACATCTGGACATTCAACCTACCACTCACTCCAGTTTCCTCTCTCCCAAACAGAAACATTCCACGAATATCATGTACCGTGAACACCCTATCCCACACTCACACCCACAACCCTATCCACCCCCTCAACACCCTCACCATAACCATCATCACCTCCCAAACCCTCCAACCACAAACCTTCCGCACCTGGCTCCGCACATCCCTGCACCTCGCCCACCCATCCCCAGACAAGAATACAATCCCCACCCCCCACGGCACCATCCTCCTCGCCCCCACCCACTCCGGAACCCTCTACCTCAAGGGAATCCTCCTGCCCGAGCGCAACTTCCCCCGAGGCCAATACAAATACGGATATAACTTCCACTACGGGATACCCACTACGAGCGGACGACGACTAGCGAGCGCGCTACATGAACTCGATCTTATCTGTTGTATCTGGAATGCGGCGATTCGCGAGAAGCCGGTGTATGCGGTGCCGAGGTTTGTGGATATGCTGTTGGAGGGTGGGGATGGGGGTCGTGGGTGGTTGATGTTGGTGGTGATGGTGGTGGTGGGTTGAGTGATGAGGCGGTTGAGGCGGTTTGGTGGGCGATTGTGGTGAGGGGGTATTATTGTCATTGTGAGGAGGAGGAGGAGGTGAGTTCGTTCTGAATATGTTTGGGGTATAGGTTGCTGATGGTATAGTGCAAGGCTGGTGAGATTAGGACGATGCTGGGGAAGAAGGAGCCGGTTAAGGTTCCGGTGGGTTTGTGGGGGGCGTTTCGGAGGTTGGGGTTCGTAGGGAGGGTTTGGGAGAGGGATGGGAGGGATTGAGGTGAGTGTTAGGTGGGATGTGGTGGGTTGGATACTCTTGGAGGGATTGATTGATGTCTGTGATGGGTTGTATGAGGTCGTTCTGGGGAAGTGTGAGAAGCGAATAAAGAGTGTAAGTAGGTTGGTGTTGTATTGGTTTAAAGTCAATTGAGTATTATCCAATTCGTTACAGCAATATGTACATCCTCCTATCGCTAGGTGGTAACCCCCCGGTTCAAGCAACTCAATGGCTAATTTACTGGCAAGTTCCAGTGCTGGCGTTCTCCTCTTGCTATAACACGCATTAATCCAGTTAAGCTCCCCTACAGGTGCCGTTGAAGAAAAGATAGGAAGGATACTCACCACGCAGAGTCCACTTTGACAGTTGCCCATGCTTCCGTCCTTGTTGCAGGTTGCGCCGGAGGGAAGCTTTAGGTTATCTTGTCAGTTCTCATGGTCATAGCATGTAGAATGGTATAAAGCTGAACCTCAAACACGAGACGTGAGGGGACATACAGTATCAGTGCTGCTCGCGGAGTTCGCGGCGGGTGAGGCAAGAGCAAGGCCGAGGAAGGCGAGAGTAGCGAAGATGGAGAACTTCATTGTGGAGAATTTGACTTTGTGGTTTGGTTTGTTTAGAGAATGATTTTTATGAGTAGAGTAGTGGGGTTGGGTGGAATCGATGTGTGATGGATGGGACAGAGGTAGGCTGGTAGGGGCATTTATATGCTTCTGTGGTGCGCGTTCACGTGAAGCGGATAAGAGTTATAATCATATCCTGGTCCAGACCAAACCACAGTATTCGGAGTAGGTAGAAGGAGGGTGACAAGATGGTTACGCGCGTGTTGGGGGTGGGGAAGAAAGGGTAATGTTTCTGGAACTATTGGGGGTGATCTGCGGAGGATCAAGTGGAGATCATCAGTCAGGGGTGGCTTTCTGTCAGAAGTTAGAATTGTGACCAATTATGTTCAACGGTTATGCCTTGAGCATGAAGTGGGGGATGATAGTCGTCTTATTGAGAGAGGAAGCATCACGGTGTGTGGTGTGGAAGTATGTACTTCAACACCGTGGGTGGCAGTTAAAAGGGTTGCGGGAGTTGTCTGTACCAGTCATTATGGGTAGGTAACTTTCTGTCCAATTCGATGCTGCGACTTACTAAGTTTCTATTCGGGGATACACTTACTCAGTACCCAGAAAGAGTGAGGCACTTGATGTCTTCCAGCACGATGTTCCCTCCCATCTGGCAATGATCTCCCTTGGCATACATAATCTCTCACGTTGGCTCCACACCCGCTATCCCTAGCGGTCGGATGGGTCAATAGGCCAATATGCATGGTCAAATTATTATCCGGGTCATTATTTGGTGTGTAAACTCAATCATATGCTTCTCGTCTAGGGATAACAATATGACGAGCTGGAGAAGTGTTTGATCGATCGCTCCTGTGATTGAGTGGCTGAAATATTCCATGGATGGCCGCTAATATAGTGCATGTATCCGCCTTGCTCCGATGGGCATAAATACTAACAAAAGTCATAGACTGCTGCATCAAGCTTGTGCAACAGATCCTAGGCGAAAGGGTTGTCTGTCGAGCTACGTGGCAAGACAGCTTCTAGTTGCAGTCTCATTATGCTGGGCTCTTCCTTTTGATGCAGTGTCCGCTTCTCGAAAGTCCAGTATGCTCGGCACGCCTCGGCAGATGTACTACTGTGCCCTTGCCTTCCATGTCTAACTCCAAGAGTGAGGCGGATGTCAGGGAGTAATGATCGACATTTATTGTCACGTCCAATTCGTCATATTGCAGGCTTGAGCTGTCACTTCCTGGTCGCTCTATGGCCTAGGATCCCTGTTATTCTGTAAGCTTCCGTTTCTCGATAACAAATATGTGTAGTAGATAGCATTACCCTTGCTGTTCGTGCAGGTAAAGCTGTTAAAATGCCACCTGTTTAATAAAGTGCGCACAACTGTAGTCATTAGCCGCCCGTTCACAAAGAAAGCAGATAGATTTCGAACTGGACTGGTCCCGGTAAATGAGATGGTACATTACACGTCAATATTCGGACTACTTGGAGCCATTGCATACAACTATCAGAATAGCCATTAATTGCTATATAGGCTGTTGGCGTTAGATAGTGTGAAACTTTGATTATTAGCCTCTCGGATGTTCTCTAAATCACTAGCCAAAAAGTGACTGCATGTAGCAATTACCAAGGCTTCCGCTTCTTTCGATCTGGAATAAGCCTGTCGCAGACAATGCAGGTTCAATCTGATCGAGCACCATTACTGGTCAGATATTTAAGGTTGTCTGTGTGTAATGCCAGGATGCTAGATGGTATTCGGGTGCTTTGGCCGCGCCTGTCATACTATCATCGCGACTATTCGTATCAGCATGCGGCAACTGGAAATGGAGCGCTCAAAGAACAAAGTGATACTCAGTTAGAGGTATAGCCAGCTATTTTTAGATCTCTACTACTAGTTGTGGTGTGAAAATAAAGCGTTCAAGGAAAGAAGTCCAGATCGTGAAATGATGTGCTACGTTGAAGCCAGAGCGGGCATGTCGGGTACCTGCCTTTCCGAACGCCGATGCTGGAGGGCTGCACCTTCCACTTCCTCTGGCGATAACAGCAACATCCATCCATTTCACCGCCACTACCTTTCCATTCATCCCATCTGCCATCATGTCCTCGGCTACGGATCGCTCCAGTCGACTACCTTTTGGGAGTATACGTCGAAGGACGAAAAAGGCGTGTGAAACCTGCAAGCTGCGTAAGCGGAAATGTGACGGCCATGAGCCATGCTCGTTCTGCCTCAAATACGAATATGACTGCTCGTACGAGACACAGCCACGGAAGAAGCCATCAAGGTCAAGCATTGCAAGGCCTCCGGACAACTCACGCGAAAGGCCTTCCTCATCAGCACTCGTAGCAAGGCCTGATGTCAATCAACAGCAGATGGAGGCGAACTCAGGCACAGCATTCCCTCACTTCCTGGGCAAGAGCTTGAACCCGCAGAACCCGCCAAAGGTGCACGGCTTTAGCTGGAATCTGGGTCTTCGACATGAGCCAATACAACACTTCGCTAATATCACGAGCCTACTCTCTAAAGATGAGATGAGTGTTCTAGTTGGTCACTATCTCGAACGGATACACCCCGTATATGCTGTTCTCAATCCTGATATGTTAGAGAAGAAGGTCGCCCTGCGCTGGGATGATTCGGCCACCTTTGATAGCTACGATCCCGTTCTTTACGGTGTCGCAGCCTTGGGCTCACTCTACTCCGGCGATAAAGGACATAGAAACGAAGAAGCGCTGGTGCACTCTGCAAAGGAAATTCTGGAAGCGTCCTGCATTATGATCAAACCACTTATACACCATGCTACTGCATGGGTATTACGGACCCTCTACCTCCGAAGCACCAGCGGTCCTCATACCTCATGGATGGCCAGCTGCTCTGCAATGCACATCATCGAAGCAGCAGGGGCGCATCAGGATCCAGGAATGATCTCCCTGGTATATTCCGATACGGCAGACGTTGGTATTGATAAAGAGAGTCAGCGAAGGCTATTCTGGGTTGCGACAGTTTTAAATACGTGGATCTCCTATGAATATGGCAGATCTCGCGTCATTTTACGAGGCATTTCGTGCAAGCCACCTGTGCCGCGAGCGGGAGATTTGACCGCGGAACTGGTCTCTCTATTTCAGATTTCCGAACAGCTGGATCCCGATCAGAAAAATAGAATTTCAGACCTTGAAGACGTTTTATATCACGTCGGAAGTCTAACCCTTACCCACGATGCCTTAGTCTTGTCCCAAGCTAATCTAGCATTTACGATATACCGCCGTCTCCGGGTGGCTGCTTCCAGCATTTCTAACGATGTCATAAACTGCATCATCCGGCTAGGTAGTGAAGGGACCGCTGCTGCGGTTCGTATGTCTGAGAAGCGTTCTCCCTGGTGGCATGTTGCCAACGTTCCTTTCCAATTTCTCTGCATTTTGCTCGCAATCGATTCTAAAGAGTCATTGTCACACGTGAGCCACGCCATGCGCTCATTCAAGACCGTCGGGGTTCACTTTAGTACGCCTACTGTTCACGTCGCCATAGAGACCATTGATTCCTTGATTAAGTTATTACAGAAGAAGAAAGAGCGGGAAATCACTCTCCTGAAGGATAGCACCCAGGATCAGGATATAGGACTGATTGAACGAAACATATCATCCACGGAAGAGTACCGTTCACCATGGCAAGGGGGCTTTATTGATGAAACTAATGCAGAAAATATTGACTGGGATTGGAATGCTTTTTTCGATGCCGAAATATCACTTTTTGACGACAGGGGACATGGTGGGCAGATCCGGTATTGATGACGGTTATCGTGGCCGTGGCGCCCAGGATATAACCACCATATTTCCGCTTTCATAGTAGATTTAGTACTATCAGGACATTACTATCATGCGTTGTTCTAGTAACCGCATGCAAACAATCTGCTTCAGATGGAGTCTATGGCTACTTTGCAAAGCGGAAGTGGAAAAGGCGGGTGGTGCGGAAGAGCGGAAAAAGCGGATACTGCTGTACACATGGTATATCTGCAGGAAGAGCAACTCTGGCTGTTCAGTTCAACATGCATGCTCTGTATTTACCTTTTCCTCCTCTTGATTTCAACATGCAGTCCCTTCTTCAGTATCGACGTCTGCGCAGACATCTACACGAAAGCATCAAGATCCATGGCCCTGCTGCCGCTGGAGATCCTGGTTCACAACCGTCTGGAAACATCCTTGAAGACTTCCAAGATGCTCATTTCGACAGGCAACTTATAACTACTGCTCCTAATTCCGTCTCGCCGCAAGGAACGCCCGGGGTGGTGCTGCAGAACGGGCGAAGAGTGACTGTGCCAGGCGTTAGCATCCATTCTGCAACCGATGTTGAACATACCAATGGGAAGGCTATCTTTATAGTGGGATTCGATGGTCCAGACGACCCATTCAATCCGAAGAACTGGCCTGTGAGACAGAAATGGACGACATTGGGTATTGTTGGCACAACGGGTTTTCTTGTGGGGTGGGCTTCTTCTATCGACTCTGGAGTCATCAAGCAGGGAGAAGAGGCGTTCAGGGTCAGTGAAGTGACTGAGTCTCTTGCCACTGCGCTTTATCTGATTGCATTCGGATTTGGATCTCTTGTGGCAGCACCTTTCTCGGAAACCGTGGGACGCAACCCCGTCTACTTAGTGACCTTGTCACTTCTTATGGTTTTTATCATGGCCTCTGGTCTATCTCCAAATCTAGGCGCCCAGTTGGCATTCCGTTTCATTGCTGGTCTGTTCGGATGCACGCCGCTGACTACATTCGGCGGGAGTATGTCTGACATCTTCGACCTTTTAGATCGTACCTATGCCTTTCCGGTGTGCTGTGCGTTGTCTTTCTTGGGGCCTTTTCTCGCCCCGATGGTCGGTGCGTTCATTGGCCAAAGCCCGGATATCTCCTGGCGCTGGTCAGAGTGGACGTCTCTGATACTCGCTGGGCTTATCACAGCATCTATCTTCTTTCTTGTACCCGAGACCTACGGGCCAGTACTTCTGCAGTGGAAGGCTCGCCAACTACGCGCCATCACCGGTGACTCTCGTTTCATGGCCGAGATCGAATTGCGTCAAACTACCCTACCCATCCGGTTAATACATAGCTGCTCCCGCCCCTTCAAATTATTCTTCCAGGAGATTATGGTAGCCCTTTTTACGATGTACCTAGTGGTCGTATACATCGTGCTTTTCGGGTTCCTGACAGGTTACGAGTTCATATACGGTCGCACATATGGCTTTTCACAAGGATCAGTGGGACTGACGTATATTGGAATGAATGTGGGGTTTTTGGTTGCACTCGCCATTGTTCCGCACGTCTATCTGTCTTATAAAAGACGGCTTCAAGCAGCCATCGCTAGCGGCCAACCCAGTCTACCACCCGAAGAGCGACTCTGGTTTGCCATGTATGGCGCACCGTGGCTTCCGATATCTCTTTTCTGGATGGGGTGGACCAGTTATTCGTCCGTCTCGTACTGGTCACCTCTAATCGCATCTGTGGCGTTTGGGTTTTCCGTGCAGGGCATTTTCATAAGCAGCTATCAGTATTTGATCGATACGTATGAGATATTCGCTGCTAGTGCTTTAGTGAGCGCGACATTCATGCGATATCTTGCCGCGGGAGCTATGGTCATTGTGTCTATTCCAATGTACACTAACCTGGGTGTTCATTGGTCGCTTACACTGCTGGGGTGTATCTCCCTACTGATGACGCCGGTCCCGTATGTCTTCTATAGATTCGGACATGCTATTCGGCGAAGGAGCAAGACTGCTGCAGCGTAACATACTTCCAACCATCGCTCCATGCAATGAGCCTTATAGCTCCAGCATCATTGGGCAAGCCTGGGCATTCTCGACACCTACAGAGCATTAGGAAGGATATCAGATGGTTATGGGAAATCTAATCGATACTTTGGTGGTTAAAAGCTAGTGATTCCTTTTTTTTATCTTTTTTTTTTATCTAATTGCATGCCCACGCTTATCAACTGTATATGCTGTCACTATTAGTAGTGCAATAGAAATGCGCAGTACGAAGGTCGACGGCCGATCGCGAAAACAAGAGCCGACCGACGGCCAATAAGTAGCTGGAGTACCCCGAGGGCTGGGAATTGGGTTCGGGTCAAAAACAATAGTAGCACAGTGGTCTTTTTCTATCATTCCAACGCCATTTGAACTACGAGTGCTATCAGATTGTCGATTTCTTCAGGTTGAAGGGTGGCGGAATCAGGCTCTTGTCATTGCTTGTGTTAAGCTTAGCTCGTTTTGCTTTTTTTTTTCAACGCGCAAGCAGATACTTTCTAAATAGTGTTTGAAGATCCCGCTGTCACCTGTTTGAAGTACGGTCTCCTTATAGCTATTCTAGTTCTACTATCATTGGGTCTGATGTCGCTCCCCACAAGACTCCAGGCAAAAGCGGCACAACAAGGAATTCTGGAAAGAAGGCTGTTTTCTGACGGGGACGAAAGTGGGACGCACTGGTGTCTATTCTAAAAGAAGTAGCGATTAGCCTTCCCACTATGGCATCGTTTTCGGCTGACACTTGCAGACTCGCCTATCACTTGTGCATAAGATAACGATATCTTTGGCGTACCCTTTGTGACACTCGGTTTAGAGTTCAGCGGTGAACCTGTCAATGCAGCCAGCAGCAGGAAAAGCTCAAGATGGACAGCACTGGGCTTGATAGCCAGCCGTACTCGAGCAACTCTGGCACGCGCTGGATCTTCGGATTCGTCGGATAAGGATCAAGGAGCCAGCCTATGCAGCCGCTAACTCCTCCCCGGAAGGAGGAATCGTGATCCCTCATTCTGTGACAGCCACTAGCGATCGAGTCTGTTGTGTCTATAGCCTATCGCGGCCGGATATCCAATCGCCGGTTCACCAAGTGGAGCGAACCATCTCCCAACCCGGGCTGGTTCTGCTTATCAAGCACCAAGATAACCATCCCCGGCTTGCTTTATATCGGGGTCGCCGCCAGTTCATCATCCATCTCGCGAATGATTCATGCAACCCCTCCCACGACCATTCCGGCAGCAGACCAAGTATCACACTGAGGGTTGTCTTGGGTGGACTGCTATCGTCCAACCACCGTAGTCATGGTTTACTCAACGCTGTCTCCTCCACTGGACCTGTCGCATCATTTCTCCTCGGTCACGAAGAGACGGGAGGCGAGCGAAACAAAGAGCCTGTATAAGTATTTTTTCATCCCAGGCATTGCCAACTTGGCTGGTGGTACGTTTACTCATTTGCCTGTTAATCTTCTGGCTTTTGCTTAGGGTGATTCGCGGCTGTTGCAATTGTGCCACTTTTGTTAACCTCTTGCGACATCAGGCCTGCCAAATGCGTCATACTTCCCCTATGATACCCTCGAAGCTACCGTTGCCCATCCTCAGCGATTTCCCGCAACCCCCGACAAGGACCAGATCAAGCCCCCCAGTGGCTCCCCTTCAACCGAGCGCAGAATTGTCCCGAAAGAAAGCCCGACCACCAACCTCCTAAAGAAAATCGATCTTACCACAGCCCTTCAATATGGAACAGCTGAAGGCCTCCCCGTCATGGCCGATTTCATCCGCCAGTTTACCCGCAACCACCTTCATCCGAATGTCCCCTATGCCGGCGGCCCTAGCACCCTCCTCACATGCGGTGCGACCGACGGATTCTCCAAGGCCATTGAAACCTTCACCAACCCTTGGGATCCTCGTCGGGATTGGATCAGCCAACGCGAGGGCATACTCTGCGAGGAATTCGTTTATATGAATGCAATCCAAACCGTGAAGCCGCGGGGCCTCAACATCGTTCCGGTAGCCATAGACGCGCAGGGCATGCTTGCGCATGGTAAGGGAGGGTTGGCCGACGTGCTCGAGAACTGGGATTTTAGAAAGGGCCGTCTTCCGCACCTGATGTACACAATCACGTAAGTTCCAACGATCTGTAGCAGAACTTCCTCTCAAGTTGGCTAAACTCGCCTTGTCTAACTGCAGTATCGGCCAAAACCCGACGGGCGGGACTTTGTCGGTCGAGCGCAGGCGGGAGATCTATGCTCTCTGTCGGCAATTTGACATCATCATCATAGAAGACGATCCGTACTGGAACTTGCAGTATCCGTCTGCAAGTGCTATGGAGGCCGGATTCCGAGGATCAGATGCCGTAGATGTAATCCCACGCAATTACAACGCCCACGGCAGGTCCTCCGGGTACGATTTCTTGGATTCCTTGGTGCCATCGTATCTCTCCGTTGATACAGACGGGCGCGTTGTGCGTCTCGACACCTTCTCGAAAACCATAGCTCCTGGTTGTCGTTTAGGATGGATTACCGCCCAACCGGCTGTAATCGAACGACTGACTCGTCTCACCGAGACATCAACTCAGCAGCCGTCGGGATTCGTACAGGCCATGGTGGCTGAACTAATTGTGGGTCAGCAATCCGAGGATGGCCAGAATGCCGCAGGCGCAAGTAAGAATAAGTCTAGAAAGAGCGAACAAGCCTGGCAGATGGACGGCTGGGTTCGCTGGCTGGAAGGTCTCCGTGCGGGATACGAACAGCGCATGCAGACAATGTGCACTATCCTCGAAGAGGGCAAGTATCTCATCGACTCCGATAGCGCATGGGACGATGCACCACAACCTATGGCGGACGATGGGAGTGCTTGGGAAGTCCTGGATAAGATGCAGATGTATGAGTTCTCCTGGCCCACTGGTGGTATGTTTGTGTGGGTCAAGGTCTGCATTGAGACGCACCCCTTGCTGGAGAAGTATGGCTCGGAGAGGCTGATCCAAGCTTTGTGGCTGCATTTGATGCAAAAGCCGTATCTGTGTCTTTCTGGTCCGGGGACCATGTTTGCTCCTACACAGGAGCTTCTGGGTCGAGCGCAGGGATATTACAGGTTGTGCTTTGCAGCGATGCCGGCCGAGGATGTGTCGGGCATTACCCGGAGGTTGGTGGATGGATTCCGTGCATTTTGGCAACGAAAGAATCTTGATGGCTTGGATGATGAGGAAGTTGCCCTTAGTAGGCTGCAGGCAAAGGGTTCAGGGAATTTGTTGGGTTTGGGCTGTTAGAATGGGTCACTTTAATTTAATATACACCATCCTACTACATCCGTCATTTTGAATAGCGATTATATATTCATCGGAAATATTGGCGCATGAGCTTCACACCGACTGAATCATACTAGCGACGGGAGTCACCTTTTAGACTCCGTATAGCAAAAAAAATTGAGAAAGAGCATAGGAAGTACTACATATATTTCGAAACAAAATTGGGATGCAGTGGTGAAGCACTGTCTTTGGGGAACCCAGACAGCGGCGCCGACAAGGAATAGCGGTGCGGGATCCCCCCCCCAAAAAAACAAAAAGACGACCCCACTGGGACTCGAACCCAGAATCTTCAGTACCGAAAACTGACGCCCTACCATTGAGCTATAGAGCCAATTCTACACCAACTTTGGTTCAGCTAAGATACACATCATCATAAAATATCGGAACAAATCCGCTCCATCGCAGAGATAACCGTCATCGTCCTGGCGCAATGCGCGATAATCTTTAAACCCCGCGGCATCAAGCCATCCATCACCACCGCCGCCGCCCCCCGGGCTGCCCAGCCTTTACCAATTTCGCAAAAATGGACCCGGCACTCGAATTCCTACAGAATACCGATCTGGCGGAAGAGATTGAAGCCATCAATGCCATTTACGAACCGGACACCCTCACCATCACGAACACCTCTACCTCTACCTCTACCTCAACCGGCCCCTCCACTCTCGACCTAGGGGGATCCGGCTGTTCGGATTCTTCCCCTCCTTCAACAACAATAAAGCTCCAGCTCCCAGAACACCCTCACCTGTCTTTCCTCCTCGGCTTCAACTCAACATATCCCGACACCCCTCCCAAAATCTTAGGAACAGCATCCACGGCCTCCCGAGGAGAGGGCAAGCTCGCCGTCGATGTACTAGAGGACATTCTCAGCCGTACATACCAACCGGGCGCGGTATGTCTATTCGACCTGATCAATGAAGCTGTCCAGGCGTTTACGGAGCTCAATATCGGCGGTAGCGCTACAGCCACAACCAACAACCATGACACAACCTCCCACACCCAACCAGCCTCCGAAGACACAACCACCGAAAACGACAACTATCAATCGCTAACCACAGGATCAACTACTCCCGACTACCATAATTTCAACCTCACCAGCCCACCAGCATGGGTTCTCTCCGATGTCATCACGGAAAAGAAATCCGTCTTCGTTGGGCGCGCCGCCTACGTCACGAGTCTGGATCAGGCAAAGGCGTTTCTGGATCATCTGCTCGCAACCGAGAAGAAGGTCGCATCCGCGACGCATAATATCAGTGCGTGGAGGATCCGCGAGGTGAAATCATCTACTTCTACTGCTGGCGGTAGTGGTAATAAGAATGGGGAAGCTACGGAGATGATTGTGCAGGATTGCGATGATGATGGGGAAACGGCTGCTGGAGGTCGACTACTGCATTTAATGCAATTGATGGATGTTTGGGATGTGGTGGTTGTGGTGACGAGGTGGTATGGTGGTGTGTTGTTGGGGCCGGATCGGTTTCGCATTATCAATGCCGCGGGGAGGGATGCGTTGGTGAAGGGCGGTTTCGTGAAAGAAAAGACGTCTGGGGAGAAGGGGAAGAAGAAGGGAAAGAAATGATTGATGCATGGTTGGTGAGAATGCGTGCTATGGTTTGTGATCTGGGTACGTAGTATGGTTTGAGCCACCTACGTGGTGTATTCTCATTGCCAGAAGCATGATGGTCCGCGGAGGTTGTTGAGGGATCAATGACTCCTTGGACGGTCCTGCATGCGTCCAGTTTGTGATGCGCGCTATTGATGAGTCCTATGGTCTGAGCCGATCGATTCCCTTTGTATAGCGATGGCCTGCGTACTCGTACATCTGGGCTTGTGGCTCGCAGTTGCGGGGTTGGCGTCTTCGCAAATGGGATATTTGGATTTACTGCGTATGTATGATAAAGGCGAGCTAGCCATGAGCTCTAATGACTATTGATAGAGGAGATGTCACCTGGAAGGATGTAAAGATGAAAGACCTTCCAGGTGAAAGAGCTGGGAGAACTAGCTACCGTCTTCGAAAAGAAGCTATCTATATTAGAGAGAACTATAGGATATCCTGATGACAGATTTGCGACGTCACGCTGCAGAGAGATGAGTATATAGTGGTCTTTATTTCTATATTACACACCTTATGTACCCGCGCCTTCCCGTTTCGGTCTGTACTGGTGGCATATTTCTTATTTGGTTGCTGTACTCGCCACTAGTAGTATATTAGGCTTTGTCCCTTCCTCTCTCTTCCCCCACACTTTTCTTCCACTGCATCTGCTCTCTAGCACCCTTCACCATCAAGAACACGTCCCATATTACAATAGCATTACCCTACTTGCCGGTATGTCTCATGCATGATCGCCAATTGGAAGAAGAATATTACATTCTGAAATTAATACTAGTATGTGTTTACTAACCCTTTAACATGTGAATCATAATCCACAGACATAGGAATGTCCATGCTAAGCTTTTGCCACCTAAACAGATTCCTTTCCTATCGTTCATCAGAGGTAATCAGAGGTAATCAGAGAAGACGCCTCTGGCTTCCATCAAAGCATTCCACGCTCATTCAATGCCGCCCGGAGAATCTTATGCAATGCAAAGACATTTTCTTCTGCCATCATCGTGTGATGGGAGCCAGGAACATCATGGAATCTGACCGACTTGGAATGCTCTTTCCACCTCATGAGGTGCTGCTTGAGCCAGACATCCTTGTCTCGACCAACAGAAAGCAGTGGGATGGCGTAGAAGACATCCATTGACTGCACAGTTCCAGAAGGATCATATGTATGGGCTAGCTCCTGGAGCTTCGACGACAGCATAGCCCAATCTCGAATTTTTCCTTCATCCATGGCCAGCTCCTGGACGCGCTCTTTATCCGAGACTTTCATGATGGCTGGAAGGACCTCGCTTTGAGGGAGCTAGAAGTGATGAACAACGTCAGTCCTAGTCGAACACACTGACATTACCCCAATGGAGATAGCTCACCTTGTGCATATCCGGGGACATGCGATGGGCATCCTCTTCGGTGATGAACCCAAGGAAGTATACGAGATGAAGCAGCGACTCGGCATAATCCATCTCTCGGATGTGCTTCTTGATATGTGGCGGAAGGTTAAGACTGCCGAGGAAGCCGACTCTATCACCAGAAGCTTCGACCTTTTTGGCGGTTTCAAAAGCAATCATGGCACCGTACGAATACCCGATGAAAATGTATGGTCCTTCCGGCTGGAGCTCTCGGATGGACTTGAGATAGGTGCTAGTATGTTGATCAGTTATGGGGTTTCTCTGACGGGACGGTCTAAGTCTTACTCTGTCATTTCGTCGATAGTGGTAAACATCTTTTCACCTGGATTGAAACCCGGGGCTCGAAAAGCGTACACTTTTCGGTCAGCAAAGTACTTGCTGAAGTTGAGGAACACAAGAACCTCGCCCATTCCAGGATGGAAGAAGAAGATCGGAGGGGCCTTCGATGGGCCATCTTGCAGCTGCACAATCGGATTATATGGCTTGGGACCTTTCTGAAGATCTTGTAGCATGACTGCCAATGCTTCAATGGTCGGGTTTTGCAGAATCGTGATCATTGGGATTTCCTCGCTTAGGCCGAGGCGGGTCTCCACGATCCTCTTGTATCGAATCAACCGGACACTATTCACTCCCATATCATAAAGGCTGTCGTCCACACCAACTTCGGACACATCAAGGTCGAATTCGTCCGCGAAAATTCCAGCAAGCGTCTCTTCCATGTTGTTCTGCGGGGCACGCTTGGATCGCGCACGATACGCGGATGCTCTTTGTGCGGCAAGATCTCTATATGTGTTGAAGCGACCTTCCTCATACTGCGACTTGAGCTTTGTGCGAGGGAGTTTTCCCAGGGAATTTTTGGGAAGCAGCTCTACCGGGAGTGGTATGATGTCCACCGGCTGCTTGGAGCAGTAAAGAGCAGTGATCCTGGAGATCGAGTTGAGAGTCTCAAGGAAGGTTCTGTCGTCCTCAGTGCCTTTCTGACTTGACAGGTATAGGACAATGATATCTTCACTGTCTGCATTATCAAGCCAGGATGAGACCACCACCGTATAAGAGGGGACAAGTCCTTCCAGCCCGGCCGAGTCTATGGCATTCTCCAGCTCGTGGGAATAAAAGTTGATGCCATTGATGATGATACTGTCCTTGGATCGCCCGGAAAGCACAAGGTTATCCCTGTTGTCGATGTATCCGGTGTCGCCAGTCTTGAACCAACCGTCCTCGGTAAAGGCAGCCTTGGTGTTTTTGTCGTCATTGTAATAGCCCTTGAATACCATGGGCCCATGCAACTCCAGGTTTCCATTTTCACCGCTTCTCACCGTTTCCCCATGTTCGTCGGTGATCCGCATCTGCAGAGTAGGTGTTGTTTGCCCCACAGAGCAGAATTGCAGCTTAGCCTTTTGCTCGAGCTCGGGGAAGCTGTAATGATAGTGGATACCTGCGCATGTCTACCAAAACGCCATATCATTAACAGGTCTGGTGCGCCCAAATGGTTCGTCAGACGAAGCAGCTTACCTCTGTCATACCAAAAGACGGATGGAGGACATTCTTGGCGGCTCCCATTTCGACCAACTTGCGGTTGAATAAGATGCTCGTCGATGCGAGATTGGCTTCACCACCTGAGAGTACCATGCGCAAATGACTCAAATCCAGATCAAGTGAACGAGGATCCCGCTCCTGCTGGGCCTCGATGGCCTTTCCTACCAGGGCCACAAGGAAGTTAGGGGCAAAAGCGTTGGTGACAGAATACTCTGCCATCTTTTCCAGATAAAGAAGAGGGTTCTCCAGAACCGTCACGGCTGGGAGATGAATTTGATGGCAACCCCTGGATAATGCGTGCATGTGCATTTCCATGAAACAGGCAACATGATCAAACCCTGCGACAATTTGTTAGCTGCACCTGTATGGCTCGGGAGCTACTAGAGTCATTCTTACCAATCCAGTTCAAGAAAATGTTTTCTGGAGTGCTTGCTAGTGCCTTCCATTTGGCCTCAATCGCGGCGAAGATTTGTGAGTGGTGCAACATCACCGCTTTGGCGTTGCCCGTACTGCCGGAGGTGAGCAGTAGCAGCGCAAGGTCTGACGAAGGATTCGCAGGTTCATAATCTGCGGATTGATCTGCACTCGAGGCCAGATCCTCGATAAAGAACTTTTGAGACTCATCGATAATACTCAGGTCATCTGTATACTTGATACTGGTGAGGACATTGGGTCGCTCTAGGAGCCTCTGAAGGTGGGTTAGATGCCGCTCCCGAGCCACTGGGTCTACAGCCAGAGGAGTAGACACAGCTGGGATGGCTCCGGCTGCAATGGCAGACCAGAACCAAATGATGTTCTCTTTGTGAGTGTCAAAATGGACCAGGAGAATCCGGTCAGGCACCGCGATCTTTTGTTCAACTAAAGTTTGAGCATTACGCTGAAGATGATGCAGTTAGCAAAGCAAACATGAAACCACCTGCTGGGACTCATGGTTCTGAGGCGGGAGGATGTTACCTTGACGAGGCGCCAAAAATCGGGATAAAGGATCGTCTCCGGTTGGTCCTTACCAACACTATAGAAGACGAAGCCTTTAGACGGCGAATACTCGGCCGCCTGCTCCAGATATGTCAGGATTCCAGACGCCATTTGGAGCGATGAAAAGTGCCAACGATTCTGTGATTCACTTGGGCCCTAACCAGTACAATGCCGGCGTGAGAGACCATCTGTTGTGATTGAGCCGGATGGCCTTAGCCTTTTTAAATTGCTGGTTATTGCTCGTATTCTCGATAGATGAGCTCTACAGCCATTGCGACTTTAGGTGGATTGATACCTAGCACTATCGCTCGAGATATGAGTCATGACGACATGAAGATCCATGAATATTTACTGTGGAGACGTTGATACGGACCCCTGCCTGGTTGGGTATGTAGTACAAGATTTGGAGACAAAGTTAGGAAATATCTCCACGGCTCTTACAGTACTATTGTTCCTTGGCAGCTTTGTGTGTGGTGCTAATATATGTTGATCAACAGGCTCAGTTTCCCCAATAGTCACTTGGGTTGTATCACTGTGAGGTAAAGTGCGATAAGGTTAGTTGAGATCTCTAAGGCCCACGGCATTGTCCTGATGTGATTGCCTACGCCCGGAAACGGAAAGGGCACAAACAAAGCGGATAATCGGCAACGCTTTTCAGCTCGCCGCGTATGCTCGCCGCGCTCTAGCCGTTGGTCTAGAACGGACATCACTTGCCTGAAAAGTCCATGACACCTATGCTTGCTCAGATCCCCGATGGCTACTGCTTGACACATGTCGGTCACCCGTGGTCTCGTCACATTGCCAAGCCATCTGCCGTGATAACCATTAAGAGTTGAGGCAATCTTCCGCGGAATCCCAAAAGCCAAGGTGGTGGAAGTACACTCTAATACCTAGTCATCGAGATAGTGACAGTCCGTGGAGTTTCTAGAGTCGTCTTTACAGCAACTGTTAGCACGGTTGCCACGACAAAACGGAAGCTTTTTCGGATGCAACATCGGGATCTAACAAACAATGAGTCAACAGATCTGGCCTTCCTGGATCTATCGTTGCTGAATTCTAGGTCCACAGAGAGTTGAGACCTCCCCGGCCCTCCCCCGGTGTGAGGATGCATTGCCGTCTGATTGGATAGCTCTTGTTCTTGGGGGAAACATAGGCTTCTCCTCTGTGTTGGTGTTTCTATTGATATTAACGGCACTAGTCTATCCTAACGATTGAAGGCACTCTGCAGAATGCTTGTGATATACGCAATTCCCTCCGCCCTATAGGTATCCGGCTCAACATAAGCCAGCCCAGTTACATTGGCATCAAAAACCATATTATGCGGGTTTTCTGCCGTGTAGACAGGCCAGTGGACATTCGTCACTACAGAACAGCATGTCAGCATCTCTTCTTACTCTCAACCTCTCAAAGTAGTATCTAGAGATAGGTGGGGCATCACTCACTATTACTATAATTTGGATCCAAATGATTAATAAAGCTCACCCACATCCGTGACATCATAGTCGATATCTGTGGCCAGATCACACTGTCATTTCCCCGTTCATCACCCAGACTATCAATGTTATGGAAAGTGAACGGGATTTCATAGCCATGCGCTGCTCCGTCTAATGGCCCCAGTGTCATCACGTTCCAGTGATACACGTAGGTAGGTACATTCCAGCGAGCCAGCGACTGGGTTGTCACACGGCGAGGCGCGTGCATGAGAAGGTCCCCGAGGAAAGCAGCTACACGCTTCCACTGGTAACCGTATGACGGTGGGGGACGGCCATGAAGGGTCCCCGGGATACCAACGGCTGGGTCATCTGGGTACAAGGATGCAATGGTGAGAGCGCTGGAATAATTGGTCCCGTTGGCTTGGACGAGGGAAATGAATTGGTCGGTGGTGTTGTATCCATGAGGGGCGTACTTGGTCCCTTCGTCGAAGTTGGTGCCAATAAGAAGCGGGGTTTTAGCAAATTGGCCAGTCTGGAGGTTAACGATTCCAGAGGCTCTAAGGAAATCGCCGTCAATGACGGGATGATATCCAGCCCCAGCGACGAGGGAGCTGTTGAATATGGAGCTCAGGACGTTGGTGGGAACTTCACGGAGACAGGTAAGTGTATTCAAAGCGCCGGTGCAGTTAGTTGCGTTGACGACGGCATCATAGTAGGGTTGTGCTTCTGAAGCATTCATGTATGCTGCGAGGGAGGGCACGGAGCCGCTCTCAGCAATTCCAGCACGGAAGATGCCATCATTCTGGCCGTCGTATGCCACTAAATGAAGACCGACGCTATTGGCGCCAGCACTTTGGCCCCAGATAGTGAGCCGCGACGGATCTCCGCCAAAGGAAGCGATATTCTCCTGGAGCCAGTACAGTGCGTGCCGTTGGTCACGGAGTCCTAAGTTGGCGGAGCCTTCATCAGCGACTTCCTGGCTGTAGAGGAAGCCCCATGCCGAAAGGCGGTAGTTGACAGTGACCCCAATGATAGGAGCTTGCATCTCTTGAGACTGTTGAACGATGTAAGAGAGGTTATAACGGGAGTCGCGAGTGCCTCCTTCTGCAAACTCTCCACCATGCATCCAGAAGACGACGGGCAGATTCGCGCCTGAGTCGATGCCATGAGGTCGGATCACACTGAGAGCGAGACAGTCTTCCGACACCACGTCCGTCCAATACCAGTCATCACTGCCGTACCCAATACATTCATTGTAGTATTCTGTTGCGTTTCGAGTACCGGACCAGCTGGTGTTGAGCGGTTGTGGTGGACGGAAGCGAAGCTCACCGACCGGAGGCTGCGCATACGGTATGCCGAGGAACAAGTCCTGATCGTACGTGGGATTGTAGACACCCTCGTACGTGCCATTGCGGACTTGCACGGTAGGAGCGGATGTCGGTGTGTTGGCATCTTGTGTAGAAGCGAGCGTGGGCAGTAATGCGGCGGCCGCAATTAGCGGCAAGAAGACAGAGGAAGCCATATCGACGGACTGACTGGCTACCTTATGTCCAAAATCCAGGGGGGGAAGAGGTCGTCGGAGTAAACCATAAATATAGAAAAATAATAAGAAAGCTAAGGCATTATTACAACCTTGACCCATTCAAATATCAGGCAATACATACAGTATGTAGCATTGTACATACTGTTTCCGACATCCTCATTGAGATTACGGATTATGACAGTTCATAACGGTGAAGCTGAAAACAGACAATGGACCCTCCCCCGCGGGACAATGTACGGTAAACTGTGCTGAGGGGGCTATTGATTGAAACCGCCATTAATTTCAGACCGTAGTGCGTAGCGAGTGAGGAGTGAGATGTTTTTTTTTCTCTCCAATGAGCTCAAATTCTACGGATGGGCCAAGAATGAAGGAAGGATTGAGACAGTAGCAACGGAGGGTATGGGTATAGCATAGCAATCCCCCAGGGGGGGGCCTAAGGGTAACTAACTGTCTCAATGTGGAATCTTGTCATCCTCCGCGGAAGGAAACTAACAACTATTCGGAATGCTATCTTTTGTGACTTCTCCCGTTGAGCTGATGGATCCTTTTTTTTTTTTTTTTTTTTCAAATCCTTATTATAAATTAATTTCTTTTCCCCTTCTCTCTGGATGTATTAAGGGACAGACTGGGGTTATAGTTGTAGAGTTACACTCATGTTGTATGTTGTATGTTGTAGCTGCTAAGAATAGACTCGATGCGCATGCGCCCGGGTTTGACACTGCCGGGGTAGAGTAGTAGCAACAACCTGGATTGTATCGCTGAGGAAGATTTTTCCGGTCAAACAGGGGTTGGATCGGAAGCGCCGTCAGTCGATGTAACCTCAATTCAATTTTCTTGTCATGATGTTTTGGGGGATTGGGATTTGATGATCCACTTTGCCTCCCCGCAACTGCCGGAAACGATGGGTGTCTGCTTAGAGTTGGCAAACGCACGGCCGGTTGAGTTGACTTCAGGCCGATCGGCTTAATCCATCAATGACTTATCCCGGTTTTCTTGCCAAGCGAAGATGATAGAATTAACTTCTGTCGGCGTTACATGTCACCTAGTAATTGATTACATTATTTGTACTTGATCTTCTCGGATAGGCGAAACTGTTAGGAACCGAGATTTCCAAGATCCAAAAATTCAAAACTTTATCTGCTATGCGTAGTAGTAGCAGAACGGTCCAGACAGAGGGTTCATCAGATCGGCAAACTTCAGCGGTTGAGAAATAAACCCAAAATCAAGCACATCGTCTAACGTCATGTTTGCAGAAGGCGGGTTATCGCCTCGGGTTGAAGTGCCCCAGATCGCGTTTCTTCTCTTCGCCGGATCTAGTCCTTGCCAGATTGTCCAGACACGGTCGATCTGTGCATGGTGAAGCCAGAACATCGGCTCGGCCGGGCTGGTATCAATGTCTGCCAAGACGCTTCCAACAGTGAGATGTCCTCCACCATGAACCCCGTAAGTGAAAGGAGCAGTGGGATCAGTGAAGCGTTGGTCTGCTTGCATGACGCCTTGGAACCAATCAATCGTATCGTACGAGAGGATCAGTTTCGTAGTGTTGCGGAAGGAGATTGAGATTTGTGAGATGGTGGGGTTCACATCTCGCGATAAGCAGCGCGGATTATACTCCAAGTTGTATTGGACTGGCTGCTCTCCAGGAGCATCAATAGGGCCCATGTGCACTGTGTAATTTGAGAAAGGACCCCCATATACGCACCCACCCCCAGTCCCGGCTGGAATGGTCAAGTTTTTAGATTCCCAGTAGAGGCTTGTTCGGTTCAAGTCTACCCCATTAGTCCCCATACTGTATGGGTCACCATTGAAGAGGACAGAGCTCTGGGGGTTCTCCGCATCAAGTCCCCATTCCCAGTAGGGAAGAGTGCCTGTATAGTTGCACTCAAATCGTAGCGCATTTTCAAATGCATAAAGAAAGAACCGATGCCAGGCGAGAAAATCAGCCTACAAGATAACGTTTCAGCGATGGCTTCGACTCTTAATTTTTAAAGAACTTTTACCAACCGTCACATGGATGTGTTCCGTTAGATTTATATGGGTAGCTACGAACTCATCATACCGAGTTTGTACTCCCTGAAAGGTCTCCTTTTCTTCTGCCGAAATATTTGCAGGATGACTCTGCAAGCAGACGATAGCATCGGTGAATTCTTTTCTTGCAGCTAGAGACAAGCTGCGCCTACACTGGACGTGAGATGGTGGCCTTAACCGATAGCAAGGGTCAGATGCGGCTTGCGCAGGATAAACCTACCATTCTTTGCGGATTTGGGCGTCCTCAAAGCGGCAGCCATTGGTTGCCAGAGACTCAAGCTTCATGTTCCCCAGGGAATCAATGGCAATCTGCTGCAATGCAACACCATTGTCGATATCTTGTTCGGGAAAACCAGTCGACTGGTTGTAAAGAGCCCAAGCCGAAGGCCAGTAGAAAACATACACGAGTTTCAGCCAGTTGCAGTGCATGAGTGCCGGCAAGAGAGATCTGGAGCTGCTTCATATTGATTACAATACTCCTTGTAGGGCCAAAATTTAAATATATAGGCTCAGATATTGCGGTCGGAGTACAATTCCTCAGTCATTGTTCTCTTATCAGCCTTGTGGCAACGAAGAGACGGTAGCTGGGTCTAAAACCAAAGACCCACAGATCAGAATGCATCCACCTAGTACCGAATGCGGCGATCCCTTTTTTGGGGTTGCTTATCTGCTCAGGATTATCATTGGGATTCGTCGAAGTTGTACCAGGGTTGACGACTGCTCTCATCATGGCATCAACCATATAGAGTTCATGCGATCGGACACGCTGTGCCTATAGCACAGCACAGCAGGCCTGCGTGGAGTGGACGGTGCATATCGAAGCAAGGTGTCGTAGTAAAGAATGAACAAGGAATGAAGGGGGGATGAAGAAGGATGGGTGGGTTGGGTGATGTGGTTGTGTGTTGCTTCCTTACTAATCGAATCGCCCCGTAGTTCTGGTTGGTGCCTTCTGCATATACTTCTTTCCCTTCACGGTCCTTGTGGAACTTCCTATGTTCCCGATCTCTGCATCCAAGGCCCTTTGGTTATGATGCTCAAAGATCACACGGCCCTGGTGTAGGGATAAAGCATCTCACATCCATAGATAACGACGGCATCAAACTTAATATCAGTACCTGGGACCTTTGTGACCGCGCACTTTCAGGGGATTTTCGAGCTCGAAGCTGTTGCCAGAAGATCCAAATGATACAAGCCCGACAGTGAGCGTTTGGAAGAACAGGTCGTTCGTCGTACCTCTCTAGCCCAAGGACGAGCCGAAGGGCATGTCTGAGGGTTAGATCAGAGTCACCGATGGTTGAACACGAAGCCAGTCACAAACGGTATGCACGGGGCCAGCAACGATTACAGAGACGGGATAAGACGGGATACGTTCATGTGCTATACACGCGGCAGTCCTACGCAAATGGAACTATTAACTTTGGGGAAGAGACATGGCCTGGCCAATGGTGCCCTAGGTCCTCCCCAAGAGGATCTCGATGCATGCACCAAATGTGACAAGAGACGATTGAGAGCAGTGATTCCCAACATCAAGGTTCAGATAGAGCCCATATTCTACCTTTGAGAATGCAAGGCGCCACTATGCGGGTGATAAGAAACACGAAAGCAAACGAACATGACATGAGTGTCACAATGTTGAGCCGTGTAGCATGATCGGCATGATCACGGGTTTATTTTCCCGTGAGATCCTTGCAGATCAAGTCTTTCAGAATGCCAACTTCCATGGATCCTCATTCTTCTTGATGCTTGCCACTGCGCAATGGGGATAATGATCGTCTAGCTTCAAAATTAGGACCAAAGTGTAACTGGATATATAACTACTGTTAACAAGATCGACCCCCCGTAGGGTAGGCACACAGCAGGCAAGATACTACAAACCCTGTAGGAAAGTCACAAGGGGTATTTTCTGTACCATCTCAACTCGCGACATTATCACCATTATGAAGTTCTTGTTCTTGGGCTCGGCCCTCTTACTATCAACTGTTGTGCAGGGTCAGTGGCCTCCTTAAATTACAACATATTTAGCAATCTGGTAACATGATTTGTGCAACAGCACATCCAGGACCACATTCCCAACCCGATGCCGTGCAGTTGGCCCGGCGCGGTGCCGTGGCAAAAAGGTGTTCCGACACGGTCGGCCTTATGAAGAGGAACCGGCATGCAATGCGCCGACGGGCACTTTCGTTATTCGACGGTGATGGCGACACCACCACCTACACCATCACAGCAGATGCTCCCAAATACGACTTCTTGAAGAATGACACCTGTATTCTCACACCGGAAACTAGCACGGGACCCTATGTTTATCCTCGGAGTCAGACTCTGCGCCAGGATATTGTGGAGGATCAAATCGGGGTACCTTTCGTCATGGACATTGGCCTCATGGATATCCATACCTGCGAGCCCTTGACGGATGCATTGGTGGATATTTGGGTGCGTTCATCCCCGCACCACATTTTTCTTGATTATTCTCTTCCACAATATTCTTCGCACGAAAGAAAGGAAAAGAGTATCTAGATGAAACTTTTCTGACCCCAGTATAGCACTGCAATGCCACTGGATCGTATAGTTCCTTCACTGGCCTGAATCCAGATATTACATTTCCTGAGCAGTACTTTGAAAGCACTGGTACGCAAATTGACGCGGATAGCGGCATGAGTGATGTCTCGGTAATTCTATCCCTCCCCACCTTTCTGTCCGTCAATCTGGCTCAGGCACAGAAAAATATCTGACATCAAGGGCAACAAAAGTTTCTAGCAACGGACGATACAACCTGGCTTCGGGGCATGTGGCCCACCGATGAGAAAGGCGTGACCAGCTTCACCTCGATATTCCCTGGGTTTTATGTGAGCATGCACACACGCTCATGGTTCAGCCATGAGGATGTCAACCTCAAGCAAGCTGACACTCCAATATCCAGACCAACCGTGCCATTCACATTCACGTGCAAGTGCACACGAACTGGAGTATAACCAGCAATGGCACCATAGGTGCAGGCAGAACAGTCAATACGGCCCAGTTGTTTGTCAACGAAGATGTGGCCACAGAGATCATGGCAGTACCTCCGTATTCCCATCACACCCAGATTCAGCGGAAACCAGTGTCAGAGGACGGGGTTTATTATGAGGAATCGTTGAGTAAGCATATATGCAACCTGGGTTTCGGTTTAATTTCCTGTTGAGATGCTGATGCTGTGGTATGATTAATAGCGGGGGCCATGGCTATCATGGATACGGAGCCACTAGATGGTCAGGATTATAGGAATGGAGTCCTTGGGTATATCACCTTGGTAAGTGGAGAATAACTGATATTATTTAGGCCAGGATGTTGTTAATAATCTGCAGGGCATCGATACGACTGCAATCCATAATGGAACCACTGAAGACCCGAGTAAGTCATGGTCTTTCTTTTTTATTTTTGCATTGAGTGAGATCGTGTTGGCTAAACAAGTATCCCAGATCCCCCTATCCCAACCGGTGGAGGTAATTAGCAGGATCCAAGATAACAAGGTACGGTTGTATATACTACGTTATGAGTATATTTCCCATAGATTGCATAGAGACAGACTCATTGTATAGAGTGAACGGAATTGAACCTGTCTACGGACTTATCTCGGAAAACTCATACCATATCTCTAGACATTCACAGCTTGGCATTCCTAATATTTTTCTCCCTTCAACTATCGGTCTGTGAGCATTCCTCAAATTAACAAGAAGTCTATTACCAAAGAATATGTCTAGACATTCAATATGCGGCAAATAATTCCCTCAATAATACTACCCGCCCTGTAAAGTGGCAACGGACCTGCTTAAATGAGGGTCCAAGGCAATCTAGTATTAGCCAGCATCCCCAACACAACTCTGCACAAGTCAGAAGAAGAAGAATAAGAAGAAGGGTCTAGACAATGTTCCAAAGACTAAGCCAGGAGTTCGATCCAGAACACTCCCAGCAATCCACCCTTCATTACCGATGATGATCCCCTTGTGTATCCACTGTCAGATGGTTGTGGCCCGAACCAGCCCGGACCCAGTCAACAACGTCTTGCAACTGAAGGCTTAGGATTATACGTAGTAATCGCCAACATTCTTCTATATTATTATTATATCACATAATACATAGTCAGACAATACTAGACAGATTTTACTGCACGTTAAATTACTTCGATCGTAGTTACACACAGACTGTCTTACCTATCCCAAAAGTCAAATATAGTAGAGTAGTATTCATTATCATCATAAATAATTTTATCAACCCATATCATATCCACTGCATTCTTAACATCACCATCAACAAAATAAACCATTATCAACTAGGTAGGCAACAATATTATCGCATTTATCAATTGATAATTTAATTCACTGACTCAATTTTCAGACCATCGAAGAATAATAATAAATCTTCTCATCGTATATTGATTGTACATACCTACGGAGTACGGAGTATCATCATCAAGCCCTTCGCTTAGCTGACAGTCGCGATCTCCCGCCGCCGCCTCTGTTTCAGATTGATTTCTCTGACCTACTACAACCACCCCCCGCAATTTCAATCTCGATGATTCTCGAAACTGCCGAAATTGTTACGGGGCTTCCGGAGCTAGTAGTAGTACTTTGTACTACTTACTATTTAAAGTCTGTGAAGAATTTTTTTTTTTTTCTTTTCGAAGGGTCCAGTTCGTGTTTTGATGATGATGGGATGATGGGTTTAATTTGCCAAGTTTTTGCTGATGTGATTAATAGTTTGTTGTGGGGTTGACTATTGCTGGGTTTGGAAGGTGATTAGTAGTAAGTATTGGAATCACATGCTTGGTGATTTTCGTGATTGTGTAGATGAGTGTAGCTGGGTTTGTGTGTTGAGTAGATAGGTCTCTTTTGAGGTGGTATAGATGTTGAGTAAATTGGGAAGAAAGTACTGAAGGCGATAGACGACGTCATAGAACAGCATATACTAACCCATCCCTTTTATTGGTTTATGTTTTGGTGTGTCTGACCTGATCTATGCAGGTTTCTTAGGACCAACTCTTACCTAAATATATCGCGCATACTATCTGCTACTATTAGTAGTCATGTGTAACCAATGATGCATCGAATCCACATGGCGCATACAGTGGGCGGCTATCGCACAAAGAAATTGTTGACTCGCAGCGCGTTTACGTGCTCCTTTGATCCATGATCCCAGCAACGAAGAACCCAGTAACCGGTATCAACGTGTAGCAATAAAATCACGGAGCCAGCCGCCCTCCGACTTGGTGAAAGAAAGAAACGGTGGGAGGGTAAAAGAACCCCACCGATCCGACCAAACTTTTGCGCCGACAGGGTCCGTCCATGCGGGGATCATGATCTGAACCATGGTGCAGGAGGTTGGATGTTTACTTGTATCTTGGTTGGGTCGAAAGTCGGCGGCTGAGGATTGCCAACATTCCCTGCCACTTGCATACGGAGGATTTTGTTTTCTTTTTCTGGACCGGAAAAAAAAGTGCGTGAGTTGGTGTAGCGTAGTATGCTTTGCTCTATACGGGGCAGCGGGATGCAATAAGATTTTCACCGGTAAGACAGGGACGGGCATTTGGTTCGCCACCGAAGCGCCAAGTCGGCACACGCGCTCATGGCTGGGTGGAATTGCCTGGGAAGCTTGGGATTGGGCTGAAGGATCTTCTTGGAGATGGAGATGTATGCTTAGTTGAGTTTTTTTGTGGTCGAATGAGGTGTCCCAGGAATGATCTTGCCCACGCCATCTCTTACAATGGGGTTTCGTTGAGTCTGATAATGAGAACTGGAATGATGACAGGAGAACGCACTTCTTCAGTCCTTCGTACGTATGGAATGTTGGGATCTTGGTAGAGGCGAAAAAAGGGAAAACTGTTTCGCCTGGACTCACAATACGTTGCTGCCTTTTGGGAAGAGTCATAGAAATGCACATCTTTGCTCAGTGGCTGCGAGGCTGTGTCCATCGCCCCACGTCGGCTTCATCTTCCGCAAAGGCTGCAATGTAAGGGCAGGGGGAGCTTCGGTCAGTGAGCGGGTCACAGTTGACCAAGCCGAATGGCGAACTTTGAAGGCTCATTCGCCGAGCAGAAAGAATGATCGGAAGATGTGGAAAGGGCATGATGACCGGTCGGACAACGTTGTCTAACTAGTAAGTAGGCTGGCGGATGATACATTTTACTTTTAGTTGCAAGCCGATCAATCAGAGCGAATCCGCGACCTGCAGGCGTTGATTGGCAAATGCCGGCGCCAACCGCCTTGGGCCCAGCCAATGAAGTGACGGGCCGGGCTGATGGTGCGACGGATGGGCTGGCAGGGGTAATACTGAGTCTTTACTGGTACGTACTATAGTATTATTCTACTCAGTAAACAGTAATGCGTCGCTAGCCGAAGTCCCAGGTTCCGCTGCGGGTTTGTTTCATCTTCTGGACTATGGAGTCCCTTTCGCCAGGGACCACTCAGGGTCCATCTGCAGCTCCCAAAACTATGTGTCCCACGACTCGACATGCAACCCAACCCAATTCACTGTCTGTCTGTCAATCTTCTCCCCCCTCCCCACTCACACGCATCTTGACTTTCGGTGCGCGCCTACTAACAGCCTGGCTCATTCCGTCCAGTGCTCCTGGGTACCCTGATTCACCGTCATGGCGTTCTCAAACAGTCCAAAACTTAAGTATATAACACCCCCGGGGATGCCAGTGTTGATCCTTTTTCTTCTTTCTCTTCTTCAACCACGCTGGAGCGTTCAGTCCTTTCTTCGTTCTACACTGTTCGACAGTCCTACTATCACCAGGCTAGTCCTGCTTTCTTTCGACACTCCTTTTTGATTTCATTCAGATCTTCGTTGTGTGCCTGCGGCAGACTCCAACCTTCCCTTCTACTTCCAACGAACTGAAGCTATCATTGTCCAGTGGTATCACACTTTCGTGACAAAGGCCTCTTTCGACTAGACAAAGTCAACATTGAGACAAGCTCACTTTCCATTCGGTTCTACAAAGGTATTGTCATCTCGCCTTATCCTGGTACTTTCCCGGGTACATTTTCATTGTCTACCATAACCTTGTGCCCCTCTACACATCCTTGGCCATATACCGCTTCAACTATACGGGTATCACCGTCTGGTGCTCCTATACCTCTTACCAACGAATCATGCATTATTTCAATATAAACCCAGAACTTCATCCTTTACCTTCATTTCTCTCCTTCATAGCTAATCCATCGGCACTAGACTTTTGCTCAACGCAACCACCTGTTCTGTCTCGTCTGGTACGGTCAGAACTTCAAACACTCCTTTTAGCTGTCGAATAGTGCAAAACAAAAACGACGCTCTTTCACCATGTTTTCCAAGTCGATTCTTACGGCCGCTGCTCTTTTGGGCATCTCCGCCGTTGAAGCACACATGATCATGACTGAGCCCATTCCCTATGGAAAGGATACCCTCAACAACTCGCCTCTGGCAGCCGATGGCAGCGACTTTCCTTGCAAGCTGCGCTCCAACACCTACGAGGTCAGCGAGTGGAATACCGCCCAGATCGGGGAGAGCATGCCTTTGACCTTTGAGGGTTCCGCCACCCATGGTGGTGGCTCCTGCCAAGTCAGTCTGACCACCGATCTGCAGCCTAACAAGGACTCCGAATGGATGGTCATCAAGTCTATCGAGGGTGGCTGCCCCGCCAACGTGGACGGAAACCTTTCCGGTGGTGCTTCCATGGCCGACCCTACCAAGTTCAACTACACCATTCCGGACGGCATTAGCCCCGGCAAGTACACGCTCGCCTGGACTTGGTTCAACCGCATCGGAAACCGTGAGATGTACATGAACTGTGCACCCCTCGAGGTCCAGAGCGCTTCTTCTTCTAAGCGGTCCGATGTTGAGGAAAAGCGCGATGTTGAGAAGCGCTCTTCCACCTTCCCTCCCATGTTTGTCGCCAACGTCAACGGCTGCACCACCTCCGAAGGTGTCGACATCCGATTCCCGCAGCCCGGTGACGACATCCAATACAACGGCGAGCCTAGCAACCTGGCTTCCGCTGGTGCCGCCGCCTGTACCGGTACTCCCACTTTTGCTGCCGCTGGTGACAGCAGCACTGGCTCCTACTCTGGTTCTGGCTCCAGCTCTGGTTCTGGCTCTGGCTCTGGTTCTGGCTCTGGCTCCGCCAGTTCTTCGGCCGCTGCTGTTGTTACTTCTGCCCCAGCCGCCACCTACACTGCTCCTGCGGTTGCGAACACTCCTGCACCCAGCTCTGGCAGCAGCGGCTCCAGCTCTGGTTCTGGTTCTGGCTCCGGTTCTGTCTCTGTCTCCATCTCTGTCTCCAGCCCTCAACCCAGCTCTAGCTCCAGCTCCAGCTCTGGTGCGCTCTCTGGATCTTGCAGCGTGGAGGGCGAGTGGAACTGCATCAATGGCTCGTCTTTCCAGCGCTGCGCCAGCGGCAAGTGGACCGCTGTTCAGAATGTGGCTGCGGGTACCCAGTGCACTGCTGGACAGAGCTCCAACTTGGCCATTTCCGCCATCAAGTTGAAGCCCCGTACCGTTAGGGAGGGCCGCGCCAGACGCCACGCTCACGGTGGACATGTGCACGCTTGAACGTGGATTGATTGAAAATGTGATCCGGGTGGCTAGCCCATACCGATCGAGACTTACATTCGTTTCCTCGCACAAGGCGTAGTGCTAGGACCCTTTTGATTTTCCTGTTTACCTTCTTGTACCATTTGCAGTAGAGAGGATCCTAAATGAAATTAACGTTGGCCAACGATATTTACCGTTATAAGCAGTAGTAATCTTTTTATCTAATTAGTCATAGTTGCAAACATGTAGAGTGTAATTGCATGCCCTAGTTACCTCTCAGAGGGTATTCTGGGCGTCGGCTGATCTCTTGTGGCGATAATTTACAGACAAGACTTTGGATAACTGAACTTGACATCAATGAAAAGAGTTTTCAATTTATCCAGTCTAGATAATGGTAATGATGTACTTGGTAGTGTTTTAGTATCGCTCTTAACATTCTCCGCGAGACTACTTAGACCCCAGAAGAGACTGAGAGAAACCGCATGTATAAAGGGTAGATCCAAGCACATAAGATATAACCGCGGTTCCCCATATCGATAAGATCAGTTCCGCCTCAGGCATCAACTACCACCCAAAACGGCAACAGGGCTAGGGCTTTGCCGCACCCACGACGGGCGGGTGAGACTAAGCGAAAATTTGCGCGCTCATCTTGAGATGCTCGATCTCCAACCTCGAACGACGACAACGACCACCCTACCGTCGACAAAAATGGCGTCTCGTCCTACCGTCACCATCGCCGGCGCTGATGGCAAGCCCACGGGGGCTACCTACCCCCTCCCGGCTGTTTTCGCCTCCCCCATCCGTCTTGATGTTGTCCAGTATGTTTCAGCCTTTTACGACGAAAAATCGACTCGCTGGGAGAAAGAATGAGAAAGCGGAGGAAATTCGATGGCTGACGGATTTCGATTTACAGGCAGGTGCACACCGGTATGGCCAAGAACAAGAGACAGCCCTACGCTGTGAGCGAGAAGGCTGGTGAACAGACCTCTGCTGAGTCCTGGGGTACCGGTATGTGCACAAATCTGAAGAGAATGCCAAGAATTTGCAGGAGAGTCGGGATGACTGATGGATGTGAATAACTTCAGGTCGCGCTGTCGCTCGTATCCCCCGTGTCTCCGGTGGTGGTACTCACCGTGCCGGTCAGGCCGCTTTCGGTAACCAGTGCCGTTCCGGTCGTATGTTCGCCCCTACCAAGGTCTGGCGCAAGTGGCACCAGAAGGTCAACGTTGGCCAGAGGTATGATGAGATTCCGACCGATGAGGCAGAAGGAGAGGAACTAATGGCTTTTTCTTAGACGTTTCGCTACTGCCTCTGCCCTCGCTGCTTCTTCCGTTCCTTCTCTTCTGTTCGCTCGCGGTCACCGCGTTGCCAACGTTCCTGAGGTCCCTCTGGTCGTTGACTCCAAGACCTTCGAGAACTCCGCTGTTACCAAGACCAAGGCCGCCGTTGCCCTCCTCCAGGCTGTCGGTGCCGGTGCCGACCTCGTCAAGGTCCAGAAGTCCCGCAAGATGCGTGCCGGTAAGGGTAAGCTGAGGAACCGCCGCTTCCGCCAGCGCCGCGGTCCTCTGGTTGTCTACAACCCCGAGGTTGATGGCAAGGACCTTGTCCGTGCCTTCCGCAACATCCCCGGTGTTGAGACCTCCTCCGTCTTCTCCCTCAACCTCCTCCAGCTCGCCCCCGGTGGTCACCTCGGTCGCTTCATCGTCTGGTCCTCCGCTGCTTTCGAGGCCCTCGACAAGGTCTACGGCACCACCACCACCGCCTCCGCCCTCAAGAAGGACTACCTCCTCCCCCAGAACGTTGTTGCCAACGCCGACCTGGCCCGTCTCATCAACTCTTCTGAAATCCAGTCCGTCCTTCGCGCCCCCAAGGGTGAGGCTCGCACCAAGCGCACCAACATCCAGAAGAAGAACCCTCTCCGCAACAAGCAGGTCATGCTCCGTCTCAACCCTTACGCTGCTGCTTTCTCCAAGGAGAAGCTCGGCCAGCAGACCGTTGAGTCTGCTAAGCCCGAGCGCGCTTCCAAGGACTTCCTCAACACCCTCTACGAGGCGTAAGTTAGTGGTCCGGGGTTTCACGCTGGGAAGGTATGATATGAGATTGTTTTCGGTTTAAAAGGTAGCACCAATGAACAGGTTCGCAATACCCATAATGAATTAGTAGTTTTTTTCAAAGTAGCTTTTTAGTAGCTTTCAATAGACATTTCTCACGTAGTGCTTTTTATAGCTGACATGGTTTCTGAGATCAAAGAATCGACTCCATTGATGTACGTGGGTTTCATCATGTACTTCCAACCCACTATCCATCAATACACTTCAAATTGCTACTTCAACAGAAGGAAAACAACCGCATTGAATTTGTTGCACCACCCAATCTGTTACCATCAACCCAGTCATCCTGCACTACAGAGTATGGCCCAACAAACAATCAGCAGTGCATAATCTCCTATACAGTACCCATAAATAACACCGGTCAATCACTCAAATCCCCATATTTGGTCAATTATCACATCTAACCAACCCGGCGTACCATCTATATATACCCCTGCCATAACCCAGGATGACCAGCCCAGCTCAGTCACAAACAAGCAAACATGTGAACACCTATGCCATACTACTTAGTTCCCTAGTTATTATCGCCGACCTGACCCGAGGATTGACTCTTGTTTGTTATTTTGCTTGACTACAGGGGTAAAATGGATAGTAAGTACAATGTAGGTAGTTGGGATTTGGTACAGCTGGGAGGTACTTTCACATGATAATTGTATCACTATTGAAAAACTTTGACCACAACTGAACAAGTTACCAGTTAGTCACCTTTATTAACCCAATGTCAACACGGTAGTACCTAGTATCCAACTAATTACTACCCCTCTTTACTGTGACGAAGATATCGCTAACCAGTGACCTCAAGCGACTAAATTATACGTAAGTAGTCAATATTTAGTAGCTGTCGGGTTCGGGACTTGCATCGGGATATATAAATACCCACATTACTGGACTGCAACTACTGTCTAGACGAACGGACACGGACCTTTAAAAAGTTAGTAGTTAGTGGTAGTTCTGCTTAACTAAGGTGGCTATGTTTTGCTGCAGCCTGCATCAATCAACTACTACTAAGCTATATTAGTAGGAAAGTCAAATACAAGACAGTCCAAAGTTTATATATATTATTTTGAAACCGATGGAGCAGAAGCAGCATCATGCCACCCGTGACAATTCCTCATGGGTTTACTATTAGTTATTACTCACCATCACCCCTATTAGTAGGGATCTGAATCACAGTAGGACATGCCAGGTGGTAGTTAGGTATGTAATGGGCATTATGATGATACCGTAGTTTACTATCCATGTATCACTACTACAATGCACACACAACAACTACTTTAAGTATACATACTCACGTACAAATGAATATATAGTAGAGCATTCAATACTACCCTCAGCCCCAGCAATAGGGTAATAGTTTATCCAAATTACCCAGGCTCCTCAAGATACTAATTAATTATCTCCTCTGTTATCCCCAACTTCACACAAGAGGAAATTAACACATTCAATCACACCCTGGTCGCAACTACTACCCGAACTTACTAACGCACTTGAGTAACGGAGTATGCCTTAAGATCCTCCTCCTCCCAACTAGTAACTACAAACTACTGCAACTTCATTCCCCTCCCAACAAATCATATCTCTCATGTGCATTTGCGCAGAAGGGTTAGTCTCGTGCTTTTGTTCTACCGGGGGGGGGGGGGGGGGGGGGAATGCTTGCCTTCCTTCCTTCTGACCACTCCGTTGGTCCGTCGGTGGTGGGCCTCTCTCTCTCTCTCTATCATTTTGGCTTTGATCGGAGGTCGGAAGTTATCTGGTGCGACAATTAACTACTACTGTATCTATCCTAGTGTTGGTTTAGTTTTCTTCTGGTGGGATGGATGAATGGATGGATAGATGAGCCCGGTTAGATCCGAAATGAACTTACAGTGCTGTGCTTATTACTTAAGTTATTTAACATACTCTTACTATCCTGGTTATTAGTAGTGCTTGTAATAATAATAATATTATTATTATAACCTGGAGGGTTATTGTAAGGCGTGATTTGGTCGGTATTGACTTCTACTAGTAGTAGTAGTAGTAGTAGTAGTAGTAGTAGTAGTAGCAGTAGTAGTAGTATTATTATTGTCTTAATACCATTACTTAGGCATTATTTCATTAGTGAAGGACATAACCTAAGTACGTAAGTACTAATAGTTAGTTAACTATGAATATAAATATGAACATCATCATGACGGGGTCTAGATATCTGTCCATATCCATCCACACACACATCTCGGTCGCCTACATATTTACTACGTACTCACTTAGGTACGTACTACGGTAGGTAAGTACCTGAAACTTGCAGATCGAACTGACACGCAATAGTTTAATAAGGAAATGAAAATATAAAAATAATAATATACTATAATATATTATAATATAATATAATAGGAACACAGAGAAGAAAGAAAGCCGATCAAACAAAGAGAAAGAGCCACACTTATGATTCTATGACATAGTCAGTAAAAAAACACTAGCTACGGATGAAGAACCAAAAACCGATAAGGATCATCAAACACAAAACAAAGACGAAAAAGAAAAAAAAAAAGACTCATCGGCATTTGACCCGATCACGGCAAATAGGAAAAAAAGTTCAGTCAACTTTTCCTTCCTCGGGGCCCGCGGTGACCCTCCCTCTCTCTCTCTCTCTCCACTTTCCACTTTTCACTTTTTCACTACGTATATAGTAAGTATTAGGTAGTATGTATTCATCTACTTATGGTGTGAGTTGCGAGGTTAATATGAGTAAGCAAGTGTCAAGTCAGTCACACGTAAAAGGGTATGGGTAAGTGTGTGTTTCACAAGCTTGCTTGCTTGCTTGCTTGATTGATTGACTGATTTGAATCCCGCTCGGCTTTTCCGCGATTTTCAGACTCATTTTTTTGACCGGGGGGGTGCGTGCCAAGCCCCTCTGTTACGTATGTTAGT